TGTTGGATTAAGATAATTAGATGAATTGACACTAATATTGCACTTCAAAACCCTGCAAATAAATCTTCTTCCCAAATGCAGGTACTGAAAAAAAAATTGAGCAACGTCTTCTCACAACACCAAGCTCCACGTTCGGTTCCTAACAGATTGTCTCGAACAATACATCCAGACGGTGCACGGAAGTTGAACGGAGAAGCTGGCTATACAATAGCTTCCGAAATGTCCCATTAAAAGACAGACTATGTCTGTTCTAATACAGTTTCACGGAGATGTTGCATTTGTCACAGTACACCTTTACAAACATTTCGATTCCAGATACGTTTAGGTTTACGTAAAAAACAACTACAACGCAGTCCCGTTGGTATTCCATGTTTGCTTCAAAGTGTTAATGTAAACTTTCTCCAGAGACATGTTATCATGTCCAGTACCAGCCAATTAAGGCGTTCTTTACAGAGATTCGGCCTTATGTCAAATCACAGCTGACCTTATTTGCTCTGGAAGCTAGCGAGAACCACACTTAAGCACATGGGAACGAGAAACACCTCATATTCCGAAGAGCTTTCTCACCACGACCAACGGCTCGTTTTAGCATCACGTACTACTACAACAGCACGTCGCGCGTGCATTCTCCCCCCACACACTTGCTAAGTTAGTGTTAGCTGACTGACGCTGCTAGCCAGCTAACCTCGCTGACCAAAACAGCTGGCTAAACAACAGCGGCGTCGCTGTGGTTGCTTTAACTCCCAAGCAGAATACTCACACGAGCAGCCACACGGTATGAGAGTCCAATTCGTGTGGTCGCGGCCAAAGGATGAAACAAGTATCCCTGTTGTTCTCCTGAAGTTTTAGCAGAACGCACAAGTATCCACTATTCAAGCATCAAACCATGTTGAGAGGGCAGCTGCGCACTGAGTTCTAGCCAGCACTCGAAAGCCATTAGGAGGTTTCTGGAAGGCTGTAGGGAACTAGGAAGGGCGCTAGGAAGGGACTATCTTAACTTTCTTATCTCATAGTCACATCTGTCTACGCAATTGAATTATTTTGACCACGAGATAGTTTTCTCTAGTATTTATTCCCTTCTGTTATATATAAGTGAACCTAAATTAATCATGAGAAAACATGAACAATAAATATCAGAGAGCACCTTGCAATTCCTACCTGTAATGATTTTTACAGGTATCACAAAATAAATAGACAGATACATTGACTTTCTTTTTTTAAATCAGAGGCTTGACAAATAACCATTAAAGTTGACATTAATGTTAAGAGCTGTTGTAGTTAGAAAGGGTCAGATCTGTTCCTCTTTTCCCAATAAACCTCTCCCAAAACCACTTTCCGATTTTATTTTAGGCATCTTGTTTACAACTTTCATTCATTTTTGAGAAATGAATATGTAAGAAAATAATTGAGAAGCACAGCTGTAGACTGATTTGTCATTGTCTTTAATCAGTTCTAGGATAGAGTCATCAACTAATTTGATATTGCTTCTGTGGATAAGCTATAAGTGAGAGGGAGTAGAGGAGGCAAACATGAATAAGTAAAAAAGTGACAAAACACTCAGTGTTAACCTGAGCTGCTGGAAAAAATAAAGTTTTGAAACCAACAGAAATAAATTAGTTTCTATCAGGTTTGTGTGAGGTAGTATGGTAAATTGACTGATCCAATTGTAAGGCCCAAGGAGGGATTAACAGGAAAGAACCAAATAACTTAAGAACAAATAAACTAATTTGTTTACAATGATTTTAAAAAAAAAGTGCAGCCAAAGCCAAATACAAAAAATAACTCAACTTGGAGAAAACAAAACAAAACGTAGAAGTAACAAAACAAAGGAACTCACTAGGACAAAGACAGGGAAGAACCAGGAGCAGACACATGGACATCTTGGAAGCTTTTATAGAGGTGATTAGTGAAATGAAAGCAGCTGACTGAGAAATGCAAGAGCAATGAGTTGAGTGATAATGGGAAAAGGAGGGACCTGTGGGCAGTGAAGTAAACCGAGATAGAAGGGGAAGACACAAGAAAGCACAGCAGACGCTAGAATAGAACAGGAAATCAGAAGCCAAGACAAGACATCAAAGTAAAACATAATCTAAAGACTACTCAAATAAAATACAGGAAACTAAAACATGAGAAGACAGAGCAAGACAGAAAACAGAAGATAGAAACAATACCAAAATCAGGTCATGACAATTTCAGGACTTTTAAAAAAATAAATTATCTATGAAGAATGATCCATCCTAAAACACAAATGTGTCAAATACGTGTGAAATAATGTGCCAAAAAAGACATTTATTCAGATTTGATTTCTTTCAGACAGACCAAACCATACTGAATAATAAAGATAATATTGTTGTTGGATCAATTTGTTTTCAACAGCAGTCACATGGGGGCAGCATCACTATCCCAAGGGAGCAATGTAGTGCTTTACATATTGGTAACTATTAACATTAAGCATTTCTCGTGAACGGGGAGGCCTTAATAACTTCTTGAACAACTCACTATTCATCATCAGCCGATGTGCATGTTCCAAATTTAATTGGTATATTTAATACCTCTACTGTGGCAGATTAGGTCCAATTGTCCCATTCACTGTGCCTAAAGGAGACTACTTGTTATGAGTGATGCCTTGCTGTAATTCTCCACATAAAACATCTGTTTCAAACTCACAACAGGGCTTTAGCTCACACAAATTGTGTTTCTCTTTCCATTTTATGTCCACTTGATATAATGTTTTAAATTAAGGATAAGGGCCACACATTTCTCTGCTGGAACACCATTACTGTGAGTTAAAGAATATGAATGGTTACAAGTCAGAACTTGCTTATCTGTGGGTTGAAGATAATGATATAAGATGGTGTGTAATCTTAGCTACTCTGCAGCGGGGGTAGACTGAAAGCAGAAACAACACATTGAAACACATTCATGATTAGCTTCAAGGTCTGCGTTTTCAGTGGAAATGTGGAATTGATGTTCCACATATTGATATTAATCACCTGGATCCATTTCTCCCTCAGAATTAAGCCTCTTTTAAGCCTCCTTTTTTTCTCGTTGTCGAAACCCTCTTCTTCCTTTGAAGTTGTAGCCAACCCTGCAGTTTTTACATTATATATACAGGGGTTGGACAATGAAACTGAAACACTTGGTTTTGGACCACAATACTTCATTAGTATGGTGTAGGGGCTCCTTTTGCGGCCAATACAGCGTTAATTAATCTTGGGAATGACATATACAAGTCCTGCACAGTGGTCAGAGGGATTTTAAGCCATTCTTCTTGCAGGATAGAGGCCAGGTCACAACGTGGTGCTGGTGGAGGAAAATGTTTCCTGACTCGCTCCTCCAAAACACCCCAAAGTGGCTCAATAATATTGAGATCTGGTGACTGTGCAGGCCATGGGAGATGTTCAACTTCACTTTCATGTTCATCAAACCAATCTTTCACCAGTTTTGCTGTGTGTATTGGTGCATTGTCATCCTGATATACGGCACGTCCTTCAGGATACAGTGTTTGAACCATTGGATGCACATGGTCCTCCAGAATGGTTCGATAGTCCTTGGCAGTGACATACCCATCTAGCACAAGTATGGGGCAAAGGGAATGCCATGATATGGCGGCCCAAACCATCACTGATCCACCCCCATGCTTCACTCTGGGCATGCAACAGTCTGGGTGGTACGCTTCTTTGGGGCTTCTCCACATCGTAACTCTCCCGCATGTGGGGAAAAAAGTAAAGGCGGACTCATCAGAGAACAATACATGTTTCACATTGTCCACATTCCAAGATTTGTGCTCCTTGCACCATTGAAACCGACGTTTGGCATTGGCACGATTGACCAAAGGTTTGGCTATAGCAGCCCGGCCGTGTATATTGACCCTGTGGAGCACCCGACGGACAGTTTTGGTGGAAACAGGAGAGTTGAGGTGCACATTTGATTCTGGCGTGATTTGGGCAGCCGTGGTTTTATTTTTTTTTTGGATACAATCCGGGTTAGCACCCGAACATCCCTTTGAGACAGCTTCCTCTTGCGTCCACCGTTAATCCTGTTGGATGTGGTTCTTCCTTCTTGGTGGTATGCTGACATTACCCTGGATACCGTGGCTCTTGATACATCACAAAGACTTGCTGTCTTGGTCACAGATGGGCCAGCAAGACGTGCTCCAACAATTGGTCCTCTTTTCAACTCTGGTATGTCACCCATAATGCTTTGTGCATTGCAATATTTTGAGCAAAACTGTGATCTTAGCCTGCTAATTGGACCTTCACAGTCTGCTCTTATTGGTTCAATGTGAAATTAATGAAGATTGGCCACCAGGCTGGTCCAATTTAGCCATGAAACCTCCCACACTAAAATGAGAGGTGTTTCAGTTTCATTGTCCAACCCCTGTATATGTGTGTGTGTGTAAATAAATATCATGACATTCTTCAATAGATTCAAAGGAGTGTGTATTAATCAAGTTTCTTGAGAGCATTTTAATCTCTTACCTAATATGGGACTCCAATGGTTTAAAATGTAAAGAATGATGTGCTTAGAAGACGATAAAGACAGCACTTTGGAAGGTTGTACTTTGAACTATGGGTCAGGTTGTTGCAGCTTTTCACTATAGCTCTTTACTTGGATACTCTTCTATTCCTTCCCCTTCGGCCGTGACTTATCTTTTCCACTCGGTTAAAACACTAAGATTTGTGTATTTTCTTTTAAAAGTTGAAACCGCCTGGCTCCGCACAACAATAAGATGTTTTGGAACATTACTGCATGTTCCACAGGGGAAGATGCAGTTCTACACATGCAGTCCCCGGTCCGGTGGCAGTGGCAGCTGTCTGGTTTAAAAGGGCAACACTGTAGCCACATTAAAAACTGCATCGCCTTTTGGTGACAGCTGTAGATCAGCGAACCGACAGCTCGCCTACGCTCTTATTCCAGGGACTTGTAGTTTTTAGGTTGGGAAACGTCGGTGCATGGTGGAGGTATCTGTAGGAGTAAAACTACAGTTCCCTCTGAGCTAGTCGGAGGTGTTAGTTGTCAATATGGCTGTTGTCAGACAGACAAAGCAGAGAGGCAAATAATTCGCCTCTGATTAGAAATCCTTGGAAAAGGGTCGCATAGGGCACTGTCATCATACTGCTCAATTGTTGGTCTGCAGCAAACGACACCGCTGGCTTTAGCTCTAGTTTTAAAGTTAAATGGTTAAGTGGACGGTCTAAACCGAGGTAAGTCATGTACTTAGCTACCTACAGCACTAAAAGTGATGTTATTAAAATCAAACCTTCGCTAACCAGCCACGGCGGCTAACGTCAGCTAGTAACAGCGTTGGCATGGTTAGCATATTATGCTAATCACTCCACAGCCCCAATGCGACCAAAATAGCTCATGTTCCGTCGCGAGCCGTCCTCTATGATGCCAACAGTCGGTTGCCAGTTTAAATTCAGCAACAGCACACTTGGAAATGGTACAACTGACTATTTGTTTGTATGCAGCAAGCGGGCTGTTTTTATGTTAGATTTCTCTAACTCCGTGTGCCACGAAATATTTGCTAACGTTAGCTTTTGGGCAAAGGGCGTGAAAGCTGGCATCACCAGCGGCTTGCCTGCAGCACTGGAAAGAGCGACAGATTTGCGCTCTCACTGCGGGTCAATATAACCGACAAAAACAAAACAAAAAGAGAGAGAGAAAATTTAACGGGGAAAACACGTCGGTGGGAAGAAACACCAACGACCAAGTTTTATCCGTTTTGAGACGACACCTCACAGAACCGTTAAGAGTTTTGACGGTAACGTGTAATGCACACAGCATATGTAATGCTAGAAAAACCTCGTCTGTTTATGGGTACATTTTGAAGTAGTGACTTATTGTTTTCTTAAGTTTTTCTAACCGAGAATTTTTTTTTGCGGGATTGGGGTAAAAAGAACTTTGCATCACCATCTGTCAAAGAACTCTATTTCATCAGCTTGTATACAGCGAAATAAAATAAAAAAAAACATACAAAAAAACACTATATTAAATCTTTGGCAGCCTTCAAATCTCTTCACTTGTTAAACTAGTAGGAGATAAAGGGAGTAATTAACTTGTTTAATATTTCATCATATGAAGATGCTCAGAATTTTGTTATATGTATTTTTTTGCAAAATATTGAATGCAGGAATGTGGTAAAAATACTCAGGTGTTTGAACCACAATTTGAAAAGAATGATGTTCCTGTTAGTGTGAAGTTGCCACTACCACAGGTATGGTCTAAATTCCCTCCCACGTAGGTGGAACATATCTTCCTAATGATTTATTGCCTTGGCAGCTTGCTTTATGAGTCTAAAATGACAACGAAAGGAGTAGTTAATATTCAGCGGTGCTGCTGACCTCTTCTTTGCTGTACAGTTACTCTATTTCAGTGCTCTCTCAAAGTGACTTTCCTCCAACTGTGTCTTTAATGCTGGGAATAGTTCTGCTCCTCTTCATAATAGACTTGTACATTTCTATTCACTTTGGTTTATTTAGTTTTCTTTAGGATAACTAGACGTTGCACCCTAAAAGTATTTTTTCTGCTCTGTCTTTTCCTCAGTTAAGGGCAACATAGTTATCACAAATGTCAATGACCCCTTTTAAACAATTTATTGTATCCACCATAGGTTGGGCTGCCCCACAAAATGGAATATCTGCCGCAGTCTGATTCCAGTGGCATTGATTTCAAGCACAGCAAATTGCTTATGAAAAACATGCAGCGTGGGTGGTGTGCAGAGCAGGGATTATATAGTAGCTCTTAAAGAACGACAGTCAGAATGTTAAGATAGCATCAGCTGTCAAGGTGACTCTGGCACTCTGAGCATGTTGCCTGCTGGTTCCCAAAAATAGCAGATTTCTTTTTTGTGCCCTGCCCCTCCCTCCCTTTCCCTTTTTTCTTTTACACTTCTTTGTCTTTCTTTTCATCTCCTGCCTCTTTTCTTTCTTCCTGCATTTCCTGCATTTCCCACTTTTACAGCCTTTCTTTTGGGCTTTTGTTCTTCAAGCTCTCTTTTGATACCTGTCTTCCTTCACTCCTCCATCATTCTCATTTTCATCCATCAGCAACAGCATCCCTTCTTATTCTTTGCTGCTTAATCCTCTCATTTCCTCTGTGCTTCCTCCAACTCGGCATTCATCAGATTTTTATTCTTGACTTTCCTTCCTACCTTACCTAACTTCCACACTCCCCTACTCCCGCCCGCATTTCCTGTTTCCTTTCCCTCATTTTCTTCCCACTCTCTTTTACAACCTCTCTGGTGTGTCTCTCGTTCAGCAGCAGGATGTCTGAGTTCAGTGAGGAGCCGCGCTTCACCATAGAGCAGATAGATCTGCTGCAGCGGCTGCGTCGCACTGGCATGACCAAGCAGGAGATCCTGCATGCGCTCGACACTTTGGACCGGCTGGACCGGGAGCACGGCGACAAGTTTGGCCGTCGCACCTCTTCCTCCTCCTCCTCCTCATCCTCTTACGGAGTAGGCGGGGCAAACAGCTGCACTAACAACTCTGCCTCCAACACCACAAACACAGCATTCAACAATAACACCACTGCCTCGGCAACCACCACCTCTTCTGTGTCATGCAATGGCAGCAACAACAGCGAAGGCAGTGGCGGAGCGATAACTGGCGCTGCCTCCTCTTCCACAACCTCCAAAATCTCCACGGCCACGCAGACGCAGTTCAACAGTGGTGGGGGACTCTCGCCATGTCCCAGCAACAGCTATGACACGTCCCCACCTCCAGGTCCGCCACCGCCCTCTGCGATCCTGCCGTCACCAGTGTCGCTGGTGGCGCTAGCCCAGAATGGTCGGGACAGCCTTGCTGCAACGCCCAATGGAAAGCTGTCTCCTCCACGCTATCCGGTTAACAGTGCGGCAGCAACGCGGGCATTTGGGTTTGAGGCTACAGAGGAAGACTTGGACATTGATGATAAGGTGGAGGAGCTGATGAGGTGAGTACCACTGAAGAAGAGGTGATCAATAACTAATAATAAGCTATTTTCTAAGCATATAGAGCTGCACAGCTTGTTGTGTTCATGTAACCAGAGAATCCTCTGAGATTTCTCTCCTTCTGAGATTAATAAAATATCCCTTCTGATCTCAAATCCTTAATTTCTGAGAGATTGCAATCATGCAAAAGAGTGGTGACTTCTATCTCAAAAGTTCCTTGCTGTGTTTAGGCCAAAGAGAAACACTCTACAGGTGCTATAAAAAGCAATCTTGAAGGCTTTTTTTCCTGCCACGCTTTGCTTTTGACGAATGCATTTTCAATTTGAAAAGCTTCGTTTTCAAAGTTATTGAGTTGCAGGTGGCTCATTGTGTTCCTTGGCAGTAATGTTCATAATGAAAAAGAAAGATTACATTTTCTGTCACATATGAAATGGCACATAGTGTAACCCAACTAAAGTCCTATTGTTTTAACAGAAACTAAAGTATAAGCAGTAATCCCTACTATGACAGCGTAATGTCACATGAATTTCACTGGTCCATGATGTTCACCCCCTTATTTTCCTCATTTTTAAAAGTTAATTAGATTTCCTTGAGCACAGTATGAGCCATCTGCTCCAGTTGGCCTAAAATCAGGGTATTTAAAATTCTGATTTGCCCTTTGTAACAGCAGCTTTTGCTGAGTGTTTGCTTCAGTTGAGTGAAATACCTCTTTGAGCAACTTTTGTTTGATTCATAAAAAGAAACACTCTACCGCTCCAACCCAATTGCCTTTTCATTTTGTTTCCTTTAACGTATTGGCATATGACCTTAAGTGTACTGACTCTTGTTATATTGCTAGTGTATGGATTGAGTTGATCAGACCATTGATATAATTCAACTGTATAATTGATTGTTGAAATGAGCTGATTGACTTTTTCTTATTGACATTTTCTTTTACTAATTATTTATATTTTTATTGTCAATCTTGCTTGGCTAACATGTCTGTTTTTGTTTGCAATTCATAAGGGTGTGGTGTGTTTCTAACAGTTTCTAACAGTTTTTGGTTAATCATATTCTTTAAAATCTTTAGTCGGAAAGGAAAAAAGCCGAGGTTGTGTTCAGAGTGTTTCGTTTCACACAAGTTTGTATTAAGCTTTTGGTGCTGTTTACCTAATTTCCCTCTGGTTGGTAATGTTGGTTCAGTGGACGTCATTGTATTGAAGTTTCTTTTTTTTTTTTAAACCTACAGTCTAAAGCTTTAATACCAGTTCTCTTACATAAAGAACATCAGAAATTGGTGACAACATTGTCAGAATGATGACACTCATCCAAAATTTCAGATGTATCCCATTCTGAATGGATCAAGTCTCCATAGATGGGCCACTAGATTGATGACAGTGTATGCACAGTAACAGCGCAAACTGTCTATGTGGATGTTTTTCATTGTTAGTCAAGAAGAATAAATCTGTATTTGTTCCAGACTTGCATTGGTTTAAAACCATCATTCAATCATCATTATTGTTTTCATTATGAACCTGATTTAAAAAAAAAAAAAGAAGAATCTTTTGTAGGTCTTTGGAGTTGGCAGCTCAGTTGCGGGCAAAAAGAAGAGAGAAAAGAATCTGTCACATTTCTAGTTGCTAAACATGGTCCATGGTGGAGTGTATAGCTGCAGATATTCTTAATTTAATTCTTCATCTGCTAGATGCTGAAAGTATTCATTTTGAGCAATGATCTTACATGGTATTAGGGCTACTTATAATCCTGCAAAGAGTCTTGATCTCAAAAGATCGAACTAGTATGGATTGCTATGGAAATTATTGTTGGCTTGTTGTAGGTTTTTACTGTTATACGGCCTCATTTGTTTGTAGAGTTTCTTAATGGCTCCATATAAATACACATGATTTTTGTATTTTAAAGACGTACGTTGAGCTTTTTCATTGCATTTGCTGTCCGATAAGATAACATCTTCAGGTCTCAGGTTTTGTAGTGCTAGTTGGAAAGCAGTGAGAATGGGGTAGATGTGGTATTGGTTTCAGATGGATGTGAACAACAATGTTCACTTTTACTCGAGATTTTCATTCAGCACTGACAGTGGACACAGCAACACTGTCCCCCGTAATCTGGCAAGCTTCTTTTCAGCAAACGCAAGTTGATGAACTGTCAGTTGTTGCAGTTTAACCTGCTCCTCATTGTTTTCTTCAGCAACAAGTGCCAAAAGTAGAGTCCAGGAAGAGTTGTTTGCAGTTCTTGTGAAATCTGCCTGGTTCATGAAGTTACATTTTTACAAGCTGTAGTTTGTGACTCTAAACCATGAATAATAATAAAGATATGAGTGAAACCACTAACAATGCATTTCCTGAATGATTCCAAATTCCTCTGCTGGGAAAATTAGAAGAAAGGTGCATTATATATATTTTTTAAATTATAAAACATACAAAACATAAAATGATGGATTTCATCTTTAATTTTATGTTTTAAACATTGTGATGGGGCAGCAAAAGCCTGTAAAAGCAAGCAGCCCAGTGACTCTTAAGGTCAGCAACAGGCCAGTGACATAATTTCGCATGAATAGAGCACCTTAGAAAGGCAGAGACTTAAAAAATCTTTTTAAGTGGGGTAACAATTTTGGACCAATTTTTCTTCAAAGTCAAAAAAGAAAAAAGATTTTGTCATGCAAAAAAAAGAACAGCGAGAGGAAAACATCTAATCGACAAGATGTGAATAACAGGATTTGACATAAAAAACACCTTAGAGATGAAGACTTAAAAAATAGACTTAGAGGTGTTTGAGCAATTTTAGAATGCTGTTCTTAAGTATAAAATGCAATAATGGAAATGCCTTTCCATGCATAAAGGTAAATGCAAACATTAGAACTAAAGACCTGACAAACAATGCTTTTGGAGTTTGGGTTATACCTCAGAGAACGAATTTGTTTTGAGAGTTTGGTGATGTTTCTTTTTTTTTCTTCTTTAGCATGAAAAAATACTAGAAAAGATTTGTCCTCAACACAGTAAATATAGCAAAAAGATAAATAACTGCAATTGATGTGAAGCCTCTGTTCTGTAGACTGTGGGTAAAAAAACAATGGAATGGATTGGGGGCGGGTGCCTGAATATTCAAGGTGACATTTTTGAGGAAGAATGGAAAACCCAGCACCTCACTGGAAACAATAGAAAAAATTGCGTTTAGTAACATCCAATTACACTGACGGGTTTGGTATTTACAATCTATCATTCTGTGTATGCCAGCCATTTGTTCTATTCTGCTTGGCACTTCCTATATCAGCCACCTCCTCCTGCCTTGGTGAGCTCTTGCTGCCCTGTGTGAGCAGTCACAGTGAGAACAGGCATTTGAGACTTGAGCTCTGTGCTGCAGAAGCTGTGTCTTTATTAGATTACACATGATATTTATGCTGGTAAAAAAGTTGAAAACGCTCAGGAGCCCTCGTCCTCGCTGCAACGCACCCAGCAGGCTGTGTCTGTATGCAGGTGGATATTAGCTTGTCAACAATACCACAACGCTCTTCCAGTTTTTCGACTTAATGTGCGCATTTCCTTCCCTGTGGGGGACCGGCCTTTTGGGTTGGCACCCAGCACATCCCCCCTTCCTCGCTCCTCACCCTACTCTTCCTTTGTCTTGTACAGAAGTGTGTTCTACATTGATTCGCGGGTGTCAATACAGGCAGCGTTTTCGTGGGGGGGGGGGGCTCGCTCTAATTTTAGCCGCACTGCAAGAGGCTAATGTGAAAGATATTGATGCTGGGTGTCAAAGAAAAATCGTGATGCAAAGTGGGGGCAAAGTGGAAGTGCTTTCCTGAGGGGAAAAAAAACTTACTGCATACCCTTTATTATGGATAAATAGACCCAAAAGCATAGAGACACGAGGACAGGAGAGGAATTGGGCCAAGACAACCTTAAGCTTGTTTTGTGTGTGTGTGTGTGTGTATATATGTGTAAATATATATGACAGAAGGCTGGGTGGGTACATTATGTGACTGCAAATCCTCCTTTCCTGCAAGTCTGTGCATGTTTTTTTGTGTGTATATGTTTATGTTTTGCTTATGAGAATGGAGATTGTTAAAACAGTTCCTTAAATACATTCTGAAAGTATAGATTAGTTGATTGTGGCTCAGTCTTAGAGCCTCCGCCTCTGTGCCGGAATGAAATGCCGTGCTGATTACGCAGGAGCTACAGAAAAGAACTAAACACTGTAATGCTGGTGGAATAAAGAGGACGTATGATGATTTTAAAGATTATTTTCCCCCATCAAAGAGTGCAACGTGGGAACTCATGAAATGGGGTAGAGTTGGTTCTCGTTCAGTATAAGAAACAAAATGAACAGATGCAAATGAGCATGGCATAATAGCGATAAAAGCATTTATAATGCTGAGAGGATATGGCACGCCAGAACACAAGTCGATCTTAATTTAAAAGCTGCCATTCTACATGTGCATCTGCTGCTTATACCTCCCACAGTCTCTGTCCACATTTGATATATTTTTGTATTTGTATGTCATGTTGATACTAATGCCACTTTCAGATTTCGCTTTGAAACAGCACTTAGATTCCTGCTTTGCTTGCAGATGGTCTGTTAAGTGGTGCTTTTGTGTCTTTGCAGAAGGGACAGCAGTCTGGTAAAAGAGGAGATCAAAGCTTTCCTGGGGAACAGGAGGATCTCTCAGGCCGTTGTGGCACAAGTGACTGGTTCGTAGCTCACAAAAACACTCACATACAAGTCACATTTGTACATGCTTGCCAAAACACACTTGATCGCGTTTCTTTGTTCCTTTCTTCGTTTTAATTTATAGAATTTCCCAGTCCCTGAAAACACATTATTTTCTCTTAATCAGACAAAGCTTTGGATTTAATAGGCCACATCTTTTTAGACTTATCAGTACTCCATTATTATTATTATTTTTTGTCTATGTTGTTTCACACCAAACTGTAGCACAGCTGGTGAGACACAATGAATAACTTAAACAAGGACATTAACTTTTAGGGAAGCAGAAGTCTGCTCATTGTATATACTGTATATTCTGACCTTAGGCTGTGAATGTTAAGAGCAAATCTCATAAACTGCTGTTGGTAACTGCAGCTGCTTCAAAAAAGGTTAGATTATTTTTCGTTTAAGTTACGTTTTTAAGTTTGATTTTAAATGTTTTTTTTAAATATATTTTTGTTTTAATCCACAATACTTTTATGTCTCTTTGGCTATGTTTACAGAGCAGCCTGAAGTGACCTAAATCTGACTTTTTTTGCCCTAATGCAACGTCTATGTTGCACTAAATCCCATTAGTATGCAAACTTTTCAAATGGGACTACGGTGGCCAATGCGGATATGACAGTCAGTGGACAGAAAGCATAGTTTATGAGTTTATGAGCCAAACCTGGCGATTTTTAAAATAATGTATTTCGTTTTTTAGTATTTCCCAAGAAATGGGCAAGCGTGGGTATAAATGTTCTGGCTCCAATGCCAAAGAAAAATAAACAGCGCATCATATACGAGTCACATACATTTGGAAATGTGAACGACCGCAAAAGATAATTGGATTTCACAAAAAATCGGATTTGGGTCACTTCAGGCTGCAATGTGAACATAGAATTAGGCTTAGGCAGGAGATCCTTCAAGAAAGTTCTACTTCTCCCCTATTGATCAATCAAAAGGACAGCTCCTTTACCTTCCAGTTTATTGATAGATAGGTGAGAAGCTAACTATTTAAAGGGCAGCCCATTTAATTTGCATAATTAGCCTGCAGTGCATAAGGAAATATAAAGAATGCGAGACATGGAAATTTAAAAGAGGGAATGAATTAGGCTTGTGGGGAAAAATGCATATTTGGAGGGGGATCAAAAGAGACATAAAAGCATTTAAAAATACATATGACAAATTTGAAAAAAATAGAGAATTCTCATTAAAACCAATAGCTCCAGATAGAAATGAAAACTTATGTTAATTTATCTAGTGTATTAGTTTCTGTTCTCCATAGAGTTCATGGGTTTCACACAAGATTGTGCTTCTTTGTTAAAAATGAAAGTTTGACTTTCACCTCAGTTTCAAATTCCCTCAAGCAAACAATATTTCTGCTTATATTTTTTATTCTGTCAGTTTCAGTCCTCTACAACCCCCCCGAAAAAGTTCACATACATAGTTTTGGATTAAATAGTTCAGTGATCTTTTTTTTAAATGAATTCCCAGGCAGAACATTTTGACTTAAACTATATTTAAATGTGGTTGGGAAGGAGGACTGGAACCACCTAATTTACCTTTGTAAAATCTCTGATTATTCCAAAACAAGTATGGAATTCAACTTCTCCACACTCCAGATATAATGTATCAAACTTTGTTCGCCGTGTTTAGCTATTATGGTAAGTATTAACTTACTATCTGCACGGTGAACAATCATTAGCCAAAGTCCTCTTTTGTCCTTATAAGACACATACAGTTGGCTGTTTTTATGAACAAAGAGCCAAGTGTATGTGGAGCCAGCTTTTAAAGGTAAATTACCCCTTAAACTCAAGTGGATGGAAAGTTTGAGTTGACAAATAAACATTTTAGCCAGTGCTGTAGTAATCATTATTTCTTATTGAAGATAAACGTTAAGCGTAAAGAATTGCAAGTGGGAGCAGGTTTGCCGTTCACTGCTTGCATCAGACATTTGAAGGGGGAAAACGTTTTCACTGTCTTTTTTTCTCCTCTGAGCATCTTGAATTTAGCTTGTGCTGGATGCAGACTTGTAGTAATTGGATGTCTGGCTATGTTCCAGGCATCAGCCAGAGCAGGATCTCCCACTGGCTGTTGCAGCATGGCTCTGACCTGAGTGAGCAGAAGAAGAGAGCCTTCTACCGCTGGTACACGCTGGAGAAAACCACGCCAGGTACACGTGGCTTCAACACACCATTCACTTTTAAGAAAAGAAAGTTTTATTTTTCTGGATGAGTAGACACACGATTTAGTTTTACCTGCATGTTTCAAGACAGGCCAGGGTGCAAAATCGTCGCTTATTTTTCAACATTTTATTTGTTTAATATAAAAAAATTCTCTTAAAAAGTGGTGTGGAAGCATAATTTTACAATGTTATTTTAAAAAACAAAAATAAGCCAAAAACAAACAAAAAAGGCTCATGTTTCAAGAAATATGAAAGAGTTCCCACAGCAGGAGAACACACACAGGTAACTAGTTACTGGTGTGTGTTCACTCAAAAGAATGGTTGCTATGAGGATTTAAGGTAAAACTTGGCAATTTAATTACTGATTAAACATATCTGTGTAGTGGCTACAAAGCAATGGATGTATCACGCAAAGTAATTCGGTTCACCACAAAATCTTTGTTTACAGATGGTTCAATAATTGAAAAGTGACTTTGAATAAATGTTTGTATTGCAAGTCCCATATTTCTAAATGGAAAGCAACCCATTCACAGAAACGGATTTTTATCCGCACAATATTCAGCGTTGTATAGCTTCTTTTTTTAATGATTTAACTCTTAAGTGTAATGTATATTAAAAAGTTTAGCTGGTAAGAAGCTCCTCATTTGGTCCTACAGATGGCAGAAGTCATCACTCTTTGTGTGATTGCGCAGTCCACCTATTTAAGGAATAGTTGGTCAGTTGAACTGGGATGCAATTGAAATACAATATTCAATGTATCCCTCGTTGCAATTTTGTGTTACATTCTGTAACCCTGCCTTTCCAGATTAAACAATGTTCTTGGACTTGGATTTTGTAAAATATCGTTCTAAACAAGTTTGATTCATAGTCCGGTGCAATTTATAGTCCTAATTTGACTTCAATATGTTTTTTCCAATCAATGATGCATTTGTTAACTGACGCGACTTAGACAACTTTAAGTTTGTCCCTTTACCCCAGCTACCATAATAATTTAGTAAAGGTTAGAAGTTGTAGATGCGGTAATAAAGGTTGTGGTGGATATCCACAAGGATTTCTCTTCTAATTGCATTATTTCTGGGAATATCTAGGCGGATGTATCTCAGAAGACATCCATCAGTCAATGTTTACTGTTTGGTATCATATTATTTTCATTTTCACAAGGTCAGACACAATTGCCAGGTGTCCTCAAGCTTGACTAGAAACACTATTGAACAAATAGAATAATGTATGCAATATAATATTTTTCTGGAAAAGATGTCTTCTTCAAACAAAGCTGTCCACAGGAAAACTACTTTGTATGATTCAATAATATATTTTTAACTAAAACGACTGCAGTGTTTTAAAGTATTATTGTTTTTTATCTGCAGCTTTTTTATCTGTTTCACTTGTTTTCTCTCCTTAAATCGGCTAGTGTATGGTGTTTTACAGTGCTAAAAGTATCTTCCATGTTTCTTTCAGCAAAGTTGATCCAGACTAAAACATATATTTTTTCCATAGCGTTCCACAAGTAGTCTGTGGGTTTTAGGTCAAGTATTGTTCCAAAACAGGCAGCTGCTATACTCTGGTTCATTTATATCTGTTCAGAGATGCTGAAATTAGACAAATTACTGAGGCTATAGTCCTTGTTCTAGCTCCTTTTGCATATTTAATTCCAGCTGATTTTTTTTTTTTTTTTAGGTTATTTATGTTTTCTGTTGTATCTGTCAGGATGCAACAGCACACATTGCAGTCATTTGGAATTTTCTGAAACCTTTTACTCTATATTTCTCATTTATTATTGAGGCTATACTTTATATATTCATTGTAGTCTTAGTGAGATATCATAGTTCCTCTTAGGAAAGGTTTGATTAGTAAAACCTCAGAATCTTCCTCTTTCCTCCAAGTTAAAAAGAATTCCACTTTTTTTGGATTAGATGAATTCCCAGCTCTACACTGTTTGTGTTTGAAGTTTTAAATTGTGTTGGTGGCCTGGTCTTTGCTGTTCACATTATTTTGGATTCCATTGTGCTAAATTGTTAATTCCCCACACCATATATTGGGACAAATGTGCATTCTGGACTTCGTTTTGCTTTACTCCTTCATATTTTGAATAGAGATATGGTCACAAAAAAGCCTAATAAGTCAATGTAAAGTTATATGAATGAAGCTGCGCTACAAGGTAACTGCAAATAACTGACACCTAAACCAAATTTGAATGAGTTATTGGTAAAAGAATGAGGGAAAACATGGAGAAAAGAGAGAATCACTTAATATAATATACCATTTCATTGATTTGTATCTCAGTCATTTAAAATTAAATGAATTGTGTAGTAATTAGTCGTAATTTACTTAATTGAGGTTGGCATGACAACATCTCCTTTGTCGAACGACCGGCAAAACTGAGCTGTGACACTATGGTTTGTTATAATCAAAGAGTCATGTCTGAAATTATTGACTTCAAGCTATGAATTATTGCTCCAGTTGTTGACTTGAAAAGGTCTTGCCCATCATCTTAACTAATGTTTGGAACATGCCAGAAATCTCCCTTTCTACTCTCTTTTCCTCTTATCCCAGGGAGATCCTACGTCCGCATAGGCAGTGCTACATTCAGTGACATCACGGCACAGTTGGTGCTTGTTTTTAGGAATTTTAGGAGCATTGATGCGAAACTAGCTGTACTGGTTGGTGACCTCATGGTTTAGGACACCGGACAAAAAAAAAAGTTCTTAACTTGAAGAAAGGCCAGTTATTTAGACATTTCTGAATATCAGACTTCCTGTAAAGCACCCAGGAAGATTATTTTTCATAATCTCTTGAAACAAATTAGACACCAAAATCTTTTTATTTTCTGTCTCAATCCGACTGAACCAAACAAGGCTGTTTTGTTTAAACATGTTCATCTTGCAGGATGCTGCATCAGCTTCAGCCCAATAGACAATTCGCTCCTCGTCTTCTGTGGCAAGCATCTAGGCGGAGCCCTGCCAACAGCATCAATTTCAGAAACTGCTCTGTTCAATTTATGGGCAGACTGAGCCCTCCATCATTGCAGCAGAGAAACCGATGGCATGCTCATGTTTGTCTGATAGCATGAGTTGTGTGACCCAGTTAGACCATCGTTTTGATGGAGCATTTTTCATATCTGAGCTGTAATGTGGAAATTTAGTACAAATCAGAGTTTGTTTTCTGCTGTGCTCATGAGTTCAGAAAAGACTCTTCGTCAGCACTATTCAGGGAAGTTTGGAGTGAGAATATATCCTTTGAGGTCAACTGATGCAGGTGCACATTCTCTCTTGCATTTTGTACAGTTCTGCCCGCCTATTTTTGATACCTTATACTGCACAATGAGTGCTCTTACTGAGTAACACTAGCTGTGCTTCCAAACCACAACAACACTTGCAGACTTACCGTGTCTTCTCTCTATGAAACATTTTCCATTCCTAACTGATTAGAGGTTCTACCACTCCAGGTGCCACTTTGAACATGCGGCCTGCACCGCTGCCTCTGGAGGAGATGGAGTGGAGACAAACTCCACCGCCCCTTACCACTGCTCCTGGAACCTTCCGGTTGCGCCGAGGAAGCCGCTTCACTTGGAGAAAAGAGTGCCTGGCTGTGATGGAGAGGTGAGGATGGATCTGAGTTTTAGGTTTTTTAACTTTGTATTTATTTCCCCAAGGAGCAACCTGGAGAAGAAGGAAATAAATATATGCTCTCATTATTGACCTGCCAGTGCAGTAATTCCATTTGTTGACATTCTCTTTTTCATTGAGACTGTTCTGCTATTTATAGCTACTTCAATGACAACCAGTACCCAGATGAGGCGAAGAGGGAGGAGATAGCAAATGCCTGCAATGCTGTAATTCAGAAGCCAGGTAATCTCCACAGAATGTGGTATACAAGATGAGTTACACACATTCTTTTATGTTTTGTGCAGTAGCTTTCTTTGATTGTACCGTAATGTCCACATTGTTCTCCGAATAGCCTTATATGTTTGATGGGAAATGCACCACATATTTGTTGGTGTCTATAGTTGGGTGTCGCAGAGCCCAACAGATCACTAGCAGTTTGCATTTGAAGGTGATATTAACCAGAGGTTTGATGTTGGCTTTTCATTATGTTTTATTTCAAAGCTGATAATGTTTTAGAATGTTTATAACTCACACAGCTTTTTAATTCAAGTAGCTGTCATGAACCAACTTCCATATGGCCCAACAAGCTGTGGTCTGACCAGTTATGTAGAGATCAATTAGATGAGATTTTAGAGATCCCTTGAGCATTTTCAGACCATAAATGAAACCCTCTCCCCAGCATAAATTTACCTAGAAATAATGTGGCATGCCAGTTTTAAAAGCTGCTAGGCTTGCCAAGTTTTAAAAGATGTCTTTTTCAAGAGTGAATCAGAAAATAGACTAAAACTGTCAATTTATTTCCTGCCTGAACTTATAAATATAGATAATAGTATTCATCCCTGAAGGATAATATCCCTACAAATGAGATTATTATTACAGATGGATAATTAAGTAAGTCTGAAAAAATATATTAAAACATAAATATTAGTGGACAAAATGTTTTAGAATTGTGAATCTATACTTGAACCCTTTCTTTGCTGAAGAAAAAGACCAAAATGATAGAAAGAAATCAGTAAGTTGTTTTAAATTCACAGTTGTCAGCATTAGATTTCCAACACTGAGGCAAATTCACGATAAAATGGCATGTATGTATTGTGATATGAAATATAAATGTTTAGTTTTTTATTTATGTATTAATTTATTTTTATTATTTTTCCTTTCCAGGGAAGAAGTTGTCTGATCTCGAACGGGTTACCTCTCTAAAGGTCTACAACTGGTTTGCCAATCGACGCAAAGAGATCAAGAGACGAGCCAACATTGGTAATGTGGCTTTGAGAAGGAACCTCTAGTTTCTGTCCCTTCTAATGAGATTTTTTAGAATCAATGATTAAATATTTATCACGTCTTTTCACGGTAAAGTCTTCACATAACTACAACGAAGTAGTTTATTCCTCCTACTAATTTTCACCCGTTTTAAATGCAGTTAAAGGTTGGAGCGGTTCATTCCTCACAGTTGGTTTCATTTTGTAGTTGTAAAGTCCTCTTCAACTGACTTTACATATTTTATATATTGGACCACCATCCAATTTAAGGTTTACAGCTGCCCTGAGTTACCAAAAATAATTCTTTTTATCATTATAATTAGGTAAAAGTATTGCTCTGTATGCTTAGTGAGTTTGGTGAGTTTTGGGGATAGAGCGAATTCGGAAATTGAAATTATGAATAGTTTAATACGGTAAAGCACTGACGGCTCAGTGCAAATGAAAGATTCTGAACTAAAGCACTTAGCATTCTGAACTAAGGGTGGTCTCTGAGACAAAGAGGAATAAATAAATAAATTGGGTTTCCCATAGGTACCAACATGGCTTTACACACCGTGACTTGGTTTAGGTGGCTTTTCATTTCAGATTAGGGCTGAACAGAAAGATGAGTCAAGCAGAAAAACAATAGTGGCAACGATACTGGCTGAACTTCGGTGTTCCGCATTTACAGTGTTGATGATCACAGAAATGAACTAGCCAACTATCAGCTATCAGTCTTCTGTTAACCCTACTACGCCCTGATATAACCTTGGCGGAGTCTGTGCTTAACTTGTGTAGTGGGGCCAGGATGGCTAGAAGGATGTTGTTGCCTAGGCCAAAGGAGGCTGTACAGAATATGAAGGTTTTAGGTCTAAAGGAATGTTTAGTTGTTTTTTTATTTACCAAAGAAACAATTTTTAGTCTTAAATAGAGTTTTGGACATTTTCTTTAAAAAAGACTAAAACAATAATACATTTGGGACGCCCATGATACATGTTTTGGCAATTAATGGTAAATTTAATTGTCTTTCCTGTTCCTCCAAGAAGCCACAATCCTGGAGAGTCATGGGATAGATGTCCAGAGCCCGGGGGGCCACTCAAACAGTGACGACATTGATGGGAACGACTTCACGGAGCAGGTAGACTGCTACACACAAACAAAAGGTTTTCTAGACAGACCTTCAACAGACCGATGTGAAGACAAATCAGCATGGCATAATATTTAAACTTTCAGATTCTTTACCAAAGTTGTTTTTCAAATGTTTATTTTAAATTTTTTTGTCAAGACAGTTGGAGATGACTCAGTACAACAGTTTACTGTCTCTACTTTTCATGGTGAAAGCTGTATCTGTATCTGAATACAGGTTGTGTTTGGAGTCAAACTGTGCAGCCTCACACATGAACGTTCACAAATTCACACAAAAATGCATACTGAGAATGTTTCAGCTGCTTTTTTTTACCCCACTGACAGTCCCTGAACATATACTCTGCTAAATACAGAAATATGTGATGGTGCTGAAGCAGCAGGACATAACATTCCTCCTACTAATGCATCTGACTGAGTAAATCCTGTTTGTTTAAACTTTTCCAGGCCTGTGACCTCCCGTATTTTGACAAGAGACCTCTCAGCCGACCATTTGGCCTTTACCGGTTGGAGCCCACTTCGCCAACACAGGTAACCTCCACAAAAATACTCACGTGCACACACACGCACACACACACTGCTGTTTTTTTTAACATTGAGCTACAAACATAAATTTGTACTGAAGCGCATTGCATTAACTGAAAAAAAAAATAGACACCTTATCATGTAATTATGAGAAAAGATCTTGTAATTACGAGATCAGGAAGTCGTAATTAGAAGAAGAGATCACGTAATTATGAGATGAGAAACTAGTTTTTAATTAAGCTTAGTTACAATATTTCAATCCAGATTTGAGCAGCGTAGCTACTGTAGTTTCCATTGAGGACCCGGTTTTGACTGATCAGAATGCCAAAAATGCAGTAAAATTGCCCTTTATGCCATTTGCGAATCGGGAGCTGTGAATCCGAAGCCAACTTTAGCCTTGAATATGCTAGCATGTCGTAATGAGAAAAGATCTCATAATTACAAGATCTTTTTAGGATTTCGGAATTACAAGATCTTTTCTCATAATTACTGTGTCAGGATTTCGTAATTATGAGAAAAGATCTTGTAATTCCAAAATCCTAATTAAGAGATAAGGTCTATAATATTTTTTTTTTTTCAGTGAATGCAATGTGCTTCCATAAATTACTTTGTAAAGCAAAATTAAGTCTGCCCATGTCCTAAATTCACAGGTTTGTCCCATCTGCTTTTGTATGCTTCAGTTTGTTTGCAACAAACATTGAAGTAAAGTGCTGTCTGGAAAGAAACCAAAGAAATCTTTTCAGCCCTTTACAAATAGAGAATGGTGCAAAGAAAAACATGTGCATGTATTTAATGTATTGTTATGCATGTATTGAATGTATCGTAGCATTGAAATTTGTGAAGAGCACAGTTTAATAATTTGCTTTAAAGCCTGTGAGCATTGTGTAAGCATTAATGACATTTGCTTAAATGTGCTCGTGAGTTACTTTCAACACCCATCCTCTACAAACTCACGTTTCCATCTTTGCTCCTGGAGTTGGAGCTGTTTGTTGATAACCAACTGGAGGGGTTTAGCAGATTGTTGCATAGTTTTAAAACATTAGCATACCTTGTATTAATCATAAGATATTCTTTCATTTTCAAAAATAATTACACTAATGATAATGATTATAAAACACAAACCTAAACCTGTTAATATTAACACACAACAATGTGCTTAAAAATCAAAGCATAAACAAATAATTTCATCCCTGAACAAAACAGTTGTAAAAATGTTGAATTTTGGAGGATATTTTATTCTCTACAATCTCCTTTTAAGTTATGTTCATGCAGAGCTGAAACAAAGAAACTCAATGCCTTTTTCTTGTCCTGTTTTGCTAACAGAAATAGAAAAGGAAACAATTGTGCGCACAGATCCCATTAAGTACCGCTGTTTTCGCTGTCATTTTTTCCACAGTCAGGCAAGTGGGATAACACGTTAAACTGTCACCAAAATGATGAAGAGAATCAGAGTTTATGTATTGGCTTTGAAATGTAATGGGAAGCTGATTTCTGAAAGGGGAAAAAGACTGATCAGATAGATGTCACATTTAAAACGTATTAAAATGATTTTTTTAGAGTTAGTAAAGTAAGTTTGGCTTTATTTGACATCAGATCCTCAGTGAATGGAATACTGAAGGGTATATAAGCCCTTTCATAATCCTTAAAAGATAAAAATCTAAAGGACATGGGAGCAGGGTGGCCTATTTAGAGCATTTTCAGACATAAAGCCACTTCAGTTATGTTTTTTTTCTTTCTTTGAAAAAAAATCTGTTGAAATGTAGGGCTCTCCTTTATGCTTCCTGTCACTCTCCACCTCCTCTTTCTCTCTTTGCGTTGCAGGACGATGGCGCGGCACACAGCGAGCACCAGGACCCTATCTCTCTGGCTGTGGAAATGGCTGCCGTCAACCACACCATCCTGGCCCTATCCAGAACCGGAGGGGTACCCAACGATATCAAAACCGAGTCCTTAGAGGATGAATGAACAACACGGAACTGGAAAGGGAGCAAGGGATTGAAAAATAGAGTCCAGAGGAGCAATAGAGGGGAGGAGGGAATGTAAATGATGGCGAAATATGGGGAGCTAAAAAAAACAACAACAAAAAATAAGAAAAAAAGCTCAAAATAATGCTACTTAGTAAACCTATCAAATCTACTCCATCTCTGCTGGCCCCTTCCCCTTCCTCTTCTCCTCTCCGGCATCGTCACATGTAAACAGTAAATACCAATGCCCATTTTACTCAATGTATTGACACGGCTGGTGGATGTGGGCCACTGTAGGCCCCTTGTTCTCCTCTGTGAAAATGATCCTCTGAAACGAGACGGAAAAAATGGGGAATCCAATGTCTTTTAACTCTCCAACCACTCAAAACGGTGGCTCCCATTTTGGACTGCGTTTCCCAGAAATACCCCCCCTCTCCAACACTCTGCACACTCTCTGCTCACAGGATACCTCTTTCCTCTTCTATGCCACCTTTTCCCCTTCCCTTTCCAGCCTGGTCGTCTGAGCCAATCCTCAGTCTATCTCACCTCAACGTCAACCTCAGAAGATTTAACGCGTACTGTATATAAGATATATATACATATATGGTTCTTAAGGTTCTCAGTCAATCTCGCCTCATGTTGTGCTACCTGTCTGCCCGTCAAATTCACTTCATCAATGTGCAATCCATCAGATGAGAAGCCTCTTTGTTACAATCTTTGGAAAGACTGAGAGCTTCCTTTCTTTTCAAGAATATTATCAACAAACACAAATTGTGTGGTCAGTCTTTTAAGCTGTTTATCTTTTCATTCCAAAGTGGAATTGTTTGCTTAGTTTGCTCGCTGGGAAGCTGCTAACTGTGGATTAAAAACAAACATCTACGTTCCGAAAAAATGTCTGCTGAGAAGAAGTAGCCTTAACCTCATACAGACGCCTTTTCCTTTTTTTCTTGTAATATTTCACATGTTTCAGGCACCTATTTGAAACATTTTGGAACACCAAAACACAGTACAAATGACCAAAATTAATGTCCTATAATTTTCCAACAACACCCACAGCAGGTATAGCTTTGTCAATTCTGTTTTTTGTTGAATTGAACGCTTAATATACAACTAATTGTTTGGCCTTTTTTTATTTCTTCTTTTTTTAAGCTCCCCGGTCACAATATTTGTAAGCACTGGAATCCAAGGGTCAGTCTGTGGGTCCATGCGCTAATGATACGAAACATCTAAGATATCCAATTATGGAAACCTGTGCATTGTTTTAATGTCATCCATGCCAAAGGTAAAGATGCTGAGCCTGATCCCAGAACAGTGTTCATGTGAATCCAAAGTGATTTCTTCTTAAACCTTTGGTGTGTGTGTGCGTCTTTTTTTTTTTTTCCTTCTCTTCTGTTCAGTGAATCTCAGCAAACCGATGTAGAATCCACACTACAGCAGACGTGTCAGCAAAGCTAGCTATATATAAACACTCACAATTATGATGAAATACCCGAAGCTATTTACTACTTCTGTGACGCTGCCTTTTTTTATCTGCCTTTAATACCCCGTTTTGATTTTAGAGAAATATTTTTCAGTTAAAGTAAATCCACACTTGAAAATGGTGAGAATAGATGTTTGAAGAGTAAGAGCCTTAAATGTGACTATTGAAAGGAATCAGGCTAATGCACTCAAAGTGATTGTTGGAAGTTGTTCCTCATTGTATTTTTGTCCTCAACAGAACTCGTCCAAAACCATCTCCATCTGCAAACCAAACCTGTATATTGGCTCTGCAGAAATGTCAAGTATTAACAATTGTTAATGATTTTTTCTGTGAAAGATTTTCTGAGATTTGGCTTTAGGGAGACCAGGTTAAAATTGTTGCTAGAATGTTTAATAAGCTGTTTATTTTATTTGCCAGGAGTTGGATGAGGAGATTGATGGCACTGCCATGTCCACAGTCTAATTGGACGGATCCCATATTTTTCTGCTTTAGACAAAGGGAAACTGAAGCTTAAGACCAGCAGATTTTTATTAAAAAAGAGTTCCCTTGCTGATTTCAATAAAAAAATGTAGTGTTACAGTCATCAGCTGGAGTCTCACCTTCTCTTCCAACTGTCAATTAGCATAGAATTGTATTACTGACTTACATTTGTTTCTAATTAGGTTTGAAGTATGTTGTCTATATGGTCAAAATGGCGAATTTAGGGTTTAAAAAATCAACTTTTACAATGTCATGTCATTGTCTTACATAACATACAGTCACGGTCAAACTCAGAAACATCACACTCCTTTCATGCTGCCCATCAGAGGAAAATTGCAAAAACACCTCAACATAAGATAAAAATGTAGTTCTGCAATTTTTCAACTATTCCCATAGATCACTCTCCGTGAATAGTAATCTGTGGAGAATGGCAGTTATCTAATCATTCAACTCATGGCATAAGAAACTAGTAATTCAATTCCCTACGATGTTGAGCTCCTCCTGTACAGGCATTTCAGTCTGATGGTTTTGGACAACCAGAAAAATATATTGATCAGATGTTCGAATTGGTTTTATTTGTAAAAGGTGACCTGTTACAACACTGAAAGTGTTTTGATATCTACTCTTAAAGCTGTGTGGTAATCCTCTGGCAAACAGTCCAGTAAAGCTCCATTTTTATTGTGCTTTAATGTAAGAAGCTGCAATACAATGATACAGAACTGTTTTTGAGAGGGTATAACGTTGAGAAAAAAATATGTGTATTTATGCTGATTTTTTTATGATAATGTACAAAATGGAATGGCGTGTTTTCAAATGAAACATGCATTATCGTTAAATTATGCTCTTAAATTTCTCCTTTTTATTATTATAATTTTTTTAAATGATCATTTTGTTTCTTTTGTCATCCCTCATTTGACTGAGCAACAGTCTCCACTCTGATTTCTATCCGAGGTAGTAAGCTGTGTTACATAGGGCGAATGATGATGCACCTTATGAAAATCCAGTATCGCCATTAACAAAGCTTGAAATGTGTGGAGCCTTCCTCTGAAGTGGCGAACGTCCAGTGTTCTGTACTGCGGGTTGTGTGAGTGTGACAAGTGTGTGTGGGGTGCAGGGACGTTTTAGCACAGCTTTTTTTTTTTTATCAACCACTTCAAGTCAAATCAAGTGTATTCATGAGACCCCCTCTTCCATGGTGAAATTTGGGCCTTTTTATAGTTGAATCACAAGTAATGCATAAAGAATATGCTTTCAGTTTTTACCGTTTGGTTTGAGCTGAATGAAAATGAAACCCCTGTTGTTCCACTGCCAGACTAAAAACTATAGTAGCCATTAGATGGACATCTGTTTCTGTTCATCGTAAGTGAATAAAAAATCTACAGTTTACCACAGAGGTGCTCAGCTCTGTTCCTCAGTGCACACCACCCCACGTTTTCCATGATCTTGTCCATTACGTCTGGATCAAATAAATTCAAATTCTTTTTTTTTGTTGGAAATCATGGAACATGCAGGGCAATGTGCTTTGAGGACCAGAGTTGGGGAAGCACTGGTTGAAAAATGAGGTGAAGCACCTGAACGAAAAAGAAGAAACGCTACTGGATATAGGCAGCACATTTCAGTGTAGTTTGGTTTGACAGCATTTCACAGGATTGTGAAATCAGTCATGGAATGTTTAGGGGTGTGGGGGGGTTCGGTTACTGCAGATATGAATCTTTTACTTTGAGACACTTTAATTAACTGCCTTTTTCTTCACAGAACGCCATAGTGACAACAAAAACATGTTAGCAAAGATCAGTGTTAATTATGAATCATTTTTCTATGTTTGACCTCTACAGAAATGTTTGCTCGGTGGAAGGAACAACCCTCAGGTTCTTTGTCTTTTTGTTTTTTGCGTGTGTGTGATCACGTAGAAAAATACACTAATTTTCCCCAGACACCTGAAACAAGCCCCACTTACCGTCATGTGTGCCAGCAATAACGCTAACGCGAGTGGGTGTTTTCTCGTGGTATGTCAGGGTCAATGTGTCTAAATGTCCGTCCCAGTGTCTACTCCCAGTGAAACACCATCCACTTCATTTCAGTATAGCTCAGAAAAAGAGGACTTAATGCTGTTGTATCACTCACAGACCTAGTTATGTTCAAAATTACTGTATTGCCCATTTCAGAATTTAGTGCCTTTTTTGGACAGTAGACTGTTCTGTAATTAAGATGTAGTATATATACATTTTTTGTACAGTTTCTTTGTTCATTTTTTTTTACTTGTGTTTATTTTAGTATAATATAATGTACAAAAGAATAAAGCTATATCAATGAAAATTATTTTCTGTCAATCTGGTTTCTTCCGGACTTTAACACACCCACAGTCTTCACTTTTTAAACAGCATTATTATTAAACAGCTTTATTTTTTAAATAAACAGGCATTCAGAAGGTAAAAAATGATCAGCTCAAATGTATAAAATACATTTGGAACATTTTATTTGCATAACAACGTCTGCCAAGTTCCTTAAAAGAATCAATAAAAGTCATACAACTCACCAAAATCAAGGTCTTACAAAGTTACATAAAAACGTACCCATCAGCATTTACGCACACAAAAAGCTATTAACAGTGTTGGATGATTGGAGAATTGTGCACATTTAAACAGATTCAAAAAAGAAGAAAAAACAACACATTCAAGAGCCCCTGAAGAAGACTTATCTTACCAATTTGATCAAATTTGGTGTTAAGGCACGTGCTGAGCAACAATTCTCATCTTTCAAGGCATAGTTAAAAAACAACATTTGATCACATGAAGAGGATTCAGTTCACAAATGGGAAACCAACTTAAAAGAAATTGAGCAAATCAAAGTGATGCATTAGTGCTGGAATAAGTCAGCTGGGTTTGGCTGTGTGCAAAATTTCAAAGGATAATGGATTTCAATGGAATAGATAATCTTGTGTTCAGGTTTTAAAAGAAATTTGAACAAAAATAAATATGTTTAAAAATGCAGAAGTTGTTAGAGAGAAGCTGATGTTTTGTAGATCTTCACATTCACATTGTGTGATTAAATATTCAACTGATCAGTAGTTTTCTCTGTTTTAGTAGTAGTTTTCTCAGTAGTTTTTAGCAGATCAAGATGAGATGGTGCGCATTCACATAAAGCTTCAACAAAATCAAAAATCTGATGAAGACATTCCTGAGTGCACAAAAATGAGCCCTTTCAGGGGTTCCATGACTTCCGGTTTTCTCTTTTGCTGCGGCTGGCTGCTCCCGCCTCACCTTTGGCCAGAGCAGTGAGAGCTGCAAGGTTTGGACTGGACCCCGACAGGTTGGCACTTCTACGCTTCTGCTGCTGGCGGCGTAGTTTGGCAACACCACGGGTTACCCTGTCGGGTTTTACCAGCACCCCGTAACCTGGGTTGCAGTGGAAGTAGTGCTTCCCACCCACAGAGCCGTCATTCTTTCCTGGGGATGGACAAAGAAAGGTTTAGGACGGATCATCTGAAGCAGGAATTGGGGGGGGGGGGATGAGTAGAAAAGTCAATGGTGAGCTCACCTGCTGGGATCTCCAGTTCAACTCCAATCCAAGTACCCTTTGCGAAGTCTGTGGGGCCAATGTACCGCACTGTGCCGCTTTTATTAGCCCCAACAGATACAAACTCCCCCTCTTTCAGCCAATCTGGGAGAACTGCAGAGGCGGCCTCGTCTCCCTCTTCAGAGTCTGATATCATTTCCAGGCTCTCTGATGGCACAGAGAGGTTGAGTCCAGCCCCGAGGCTGCTGGTTCTGTCCACCTGTGTAGGCTTAATGCCCTCCTCACCCACAATCTGCTGAAAAGATTTGAGGTCAGAGGACTTTACCCTCTGGATCTTAAATGGGTTTCCTGCCGGTGAGCTGGATTCGGAAGACTGAGGAGCATCGTCAGCTTTGGGAGAATGGGACACCTGCTGGACCTCTGCCGCATCTGAGGGGGATGTGCCGTTTGGGGCTGATGTATCTGAAGCGGATGTTTTGTCATAGTCCCTGTTTGGCTCTAAAGCTTTGGGCAGGATTGGACTAGCCTGCTGTGGAACAGCTGGCCCCTTCTTGTGATCACCTTCATGGTCAGGTTCTTCTCTTTCAGTGTGAAGTGACAGCTGGCTCTCTTTGTCTGTTTTAAGGTTTTCTCTCTGAGAACTTTCCGTTTTGGAATGGAGTGTTTGCAGAGACTCTGAGTGTTTGGGTGCTTTTCCTTGTTCTCCGCATGAATCAATGTGCATATCTGAAACATGAGATATTTTTGTTCCGGTGTGATCAGTTTTGACCACAGCCGGATCGAGCCCTTGTTGATTCTGAGATAGATCTGGCAGTTGCTCTTTTCTCTCAGCCACCTTCTTGTCCAATGAATCGCGAGGATCTGACTGGTCTGAAGAGAGCTTGTTTGTCTCTTTATCTTCCCCTTCCTTTCCATTGAGCGCTTCCTCAAAGAGAGTGGCCTTGCTGCTGGATGAGGGGGGAAGATCCCAGCTCAGCGTGTAGACGTCTGACAGTGTCATTGTAGATACACTAGTTGACATGTAACCGCTGGATGCGTCGCTCGCTGGGCTGGAGGTGAACTCCTCACTCTCTGGGATGATTGGTGGCGGGAGGGAGACAGATCGGGGGGTCTCAGTTTGAATGTCGGCAGGAAGGAGTTCTTCGATAGGAACCTAAAGGAAAACCATTTCGATAATGGTGTTAAAGACCTGAAATACGTCTTTGGATGACAGCAAACTTTCACTTGTGTACATCCCTGCAGATCTGTGCAATTTTGTTTCCTATTCTAATGCAAAAAATGACATAAATATCTGGGTTAAAAAATTAAATTAACTGGTGGCGGTTTCTGTGAGAAACACAGAAATTAACACACTCTGCGGAGAAACATACGAGTTTTTTAAAAACATATTTTCTAGTACTATTCCTTGTGCAGCTCGATAGTGGAGGATCAATGGACTGACACTGGTCCTGGACACAGTTATTGAATGAGTTCACAATGAAAACCCATCAAAGATCATAATTCCAAGTAGACCACTATTTAAAAATAAATACATTTTAGATTAATAATCATCCAAAGAATGCTTTAATTCCATCATTCTTGGTTTTTTAGTCAACTCAGCTACATTTATAAAAAGCCTCTCCAGGCAAAAATTATCAAATAAAAATAGATTTAAAAAACAATACATACATTTTACAATGAAAGAAAACCATGCGGAAAATGAGTTCAAAGAACATGACAAAAAGAACATGAAATAAACGATTGAATCCTTCAAAAAGGCACACTTCAAGCATAGTTTTTAAAAGCAGGGTGGGAGTCTGTGTCCTGTAACCAAACTGGGAGCTGTTTCCACTGAGAGCAGCCTGAAAATGAAAGATTCCTCCTTCCATTCTACCCCTGGGATTCTGGGCAGTAACAAGCAACAACATACAGCTGATTTAGAAGATTAGATCTTTCAGATATGTCTGAGCTTGGCCATTAAGGGCCTTTCTTGGAATGAGTTATGTCTAAATCCATCCATCCATTATCAATACCGCTTATTCCCTGATGGGGTTGCGGGGGGAACTGGAGCCTATCCCAGTGGTCAACGGGCGAGAGGCAGGGTACACCCTGGACAGTCCGCCAGTCCATCGCAGGGCCACACAGAGGACATACAAGGAGAAACAACCACTCACACACTCATTCACACCTAAGGGCAATTTCCCCAATCTCCAATCAACCTAACATGCAGGTTTTTGGACTGTGGGAGGAAGCCGGAGAACCCGGAGAGAACCCACGCAGACACAGGGAGAACATGCAAACTCCACCGAGAAGGGCCCTGGTTCCCCCCGGGATTCGAACCCAGAATCCTCTTGCTGGGAGGCGACAGTGCTAGCCACCACACCACTTTGCCGCCCCGAGTCTAACAGATATTTAAAGTATTCAGGCTAAGACAGTAGGAATGGGATCTTTTTCTTGCCAGAACCAGGTAGTTATCTGGTTAGATTTGGGATCTGACTCGCTTCTGAAATAGCTCAACAGTAGTTTATTGTAAATGTGATCAAATACATTTAGACTGAACCACTTGAGCACGGCTTTTGGACAAGTTGTTTTGGTAAATTTCACAAGATAAAAGAAACAAATGTGATTGGAAAACACAAATCACTTTGTCTTGGCTTCTTTATCGGTTCCAGTACTGCAGGCTACAGTATTTGGCTTTTAGCAGCATTTCTTCCCTTTAAGCCTTCTTCCATCTGTGATTATTACACTCAATTCGGGGACTATCCCAAACTCTGATGTAGAAGCACTCATCTCTGCTTAAGGATCAGTAGTGGTCTTCTTTCGGTCTTTGGCACTAATCAGTTCAACTACCCCATAATCCACACATTTTGACAAACTCACTGTTCTTTTCTGAAAAGTCTGAAATGTTTTTTGTTCTAAAAAAATGATTTGGTGCATTTTTACCTTCCAAACACGACTCTTGGCTATCGAAAGTTTCTCATACATTGATGCTAATTGCATGTCTATGTACGACTAGAAAGACAGAGCAAATATGGACACTATATAGAAGTACTATTTAGTACTTTAGAGTATCCACATTTGCTCTGTGTCTAGTCCGATCCCATCCACATAGTATATTATCAAGCAACAAAGAAAAATGCCTCCAAGCTTTCACTTAGTGTTGCTACCCTAAAGAGAACTTACCAGCCGTGGGTGTTTGCACACCCCCTCCTCAAAACTGGATGACTGCACCACAATGCGAGGCAAATTCTGCAACAGAAAAGATGTCCCGATTTATTATTATTATTATCAATTTCAGATTAAATGTGGAAAAGCTGTTCATCGGTATTGTGTTTTTTTTAACCAAGTCGATTGTTGAAATTTTTATCCCACCTCAAACCTGGAGATTAAGAATGTATTCACGAACACTGAATGAGGAAGTGATTAACTGTTGTCGGAGCGGAAGATTATGAGGGTGGCGGGAACAGAATTGGATCGTGTGGATGACAAAAAACACAGATACTAATCGTCATGTTTCAATAGCAGCCTTTAGCAAGGATTACGAGGCCACCTGAATCTCTGTTTCAGTGATCATGGCTGGAATCAGTTTTCTGTAAGGTCAAAATGGTGGTAAGAGATGTTCAAACTACAATTAAAAGAATTTTTCAGCAGATCACACAAAGAGGTAATCAATGAAAGCAGCATAAAAAACAGGCTTACAACACTTGATGATAACTGTAAAGTTAGTTTAACCAAACTTTGTGATGGCAAATCAATACACAGTTTATTTGTGACACTGTCATAATCATAGTGACAGTCATGCATGTTACAGCTGGCAATGACATGCTTTTATAACTGCTCAACCACCATATTAATAAAAAAGGTTATCAAAATATACATTCATATTAATAATAGAGATTTATTTTTTGAATGTATTTAATGATGATTTAACTGATTTAAAAGCAGGGGTCATATCAATAATTGAGTGTCCAAAATAGTGACATAAAGTGATCCAAAGTTGTGGTTGAGTCTCACACATAGTGTGATGTGATTGGCAGCTTGTTTCAGATCAGGGGAAAAACCTACGCAGTCAAAAGGTTCTACATCAGAGAGTAGGTCAAACACATCTATCCTACCCCTCAGTTGGTCTGGGCTGCAAACCTGCAAGTTAACACAAGCAGTCAGGTGGAATGAGAGCAGTGGTCATCTCTGGTCATCTTAAGACCAACAAATCTATTTTTTTTTTATCCCTTTTTTAAAGAAACTGACAACACTGAGGATTGAATTAGTCAGATTTGTATCAATTTATTTTTTCGTTTTATGACTTTTAAGTGTCTTTTAGATGTATACCATTAATCTGGATGTAAAAAAACAAATTTGTTGCCATGTTGTATAGATTCTGGGATGCTAATCAGACTTTAATTTAGTTTGTTTACTTTAAGAGACCAGACATGGCTCAACATGGGCTGGAACTGTACTGAATTACTCCAACTACATGTGACCTAGTATAATGTCCAATGTTAACAGATTTATCTGACCATCTCCATCACAGGGGGAATTCCACCACTAAATGAACAGCGGTGGTACTTATCAGAATAATTCTTTATTTTTCTGCGAGGGTTAAGAAAGTAAAGAACAATACTTTTCGTGATGATTTAACTTGCATTCCTGAACAGAAAAGATTATTTCAGTTGTTGAAAATAGCTGCCAAGGCACGTCGTTTGTTGAATCTAAGTCGCTTTGGATGAAGCGTCTGCTAAATGCATAAACATAAACATAATTTTAATTATTCATTTGTTTTAAAGATTTACACTTTTTAAAAATATGTTTAAGCTAAAAGACAGTTATAAAGTGTTTTAAGTGGGATCCCATTTGCTTTGGAGGGGAAGTGGGTTATCCCTTTAAAAAAAAACAAAAAAACCTGTCCATGACCCTCAAGACTTTTTCTCACGCTGTGTGGATGCTTCATTTCCATATGTTTTTTTTCTTTTTTCTTTCAGATTACAACTTGACGAGACTGACAATATGCTTTGTTTTTTTGCAGACAGACTTTGTACAGAAATGTTAGTCAGAATTGTTTGCAGACAGTATGTCAATTTCCCATAAAGACTCATAAGCAGGCAAGCATCCTCACGTAAACCGAACAAAGCCTGGAACTGAAGTTGCACATGTCATGTTTGAAAAAGTCTCATCTTTAAAAACAGTTTTTTGTGCACAGGTATTATAACTAGAGACACTGTATTTATTTCCAAGCATAAACCTGTGTTTTTAAACCATTTAAACCCATTAAAGCCTAGTGTTTTCACACAAAGGCAGCTGATGCACAGTTCTATCTTCAGATGAGCTGGAAATGTAAAATACTGGGCCTTTATAAGATGGACTTTCGTAATCGGCGATTCAATCACTAACTGTACCGAATCACGCCTTACCATGCTGCCATGATTTGTGTTTCTTTACACTTTTGTTTTTGAACTGACCTTTGTAAACATCTGCGGCAGACAGCGAGCACAGAGCTCTAATTAGAGCAGTGGCCTCAAACAAAGTGCCGTCTAGTCCTGATGGGTTTCCACTCCGAAACGTGGCTTCCCTAATTAGCCTCCCTTCACACTTCAATGTGCTAATCAGTCAAATCAGATGCTGTAGTGTTTGGCTGCCACTAAAAAAGCCGCCGACCCCTGGGTCTCGATGGGACATGATTGGAGATCAGTCGGAGAGGGGGTGACGAAGGAGTGAGTGGGCTGGGGGGGGGGCAGCGTGTCAGGACGGCGGGGTTCCCCTGCTCCTAATTAACCCTGCTCCATACACAGTGTGCTCCCATCTCAGAGGGGGCTGTTTGTGTGCTGGAGCTCTGCTGTGATCACAAATAATACGCGGCACATCAATCATTGGAGGCGCCCACGTTGTTTGTGCACCTCGTGCTGATAATTCTGTTCTTAACTAAGCAACTGTAGTAACTTGGTTTCGATTCAGCCAATATGAACACTGGCCTCCCCTTTATGTGAGATAATTAGAAGAAAAAGACACTGGAGGAGTCCTCTTATTGTGTTGTGAATCCCAGTTTTCTTATGACAGTCGTGATCCAACAGCAACCGATTCTTTGTTAAAACAACCTAAACGTTACTGTGGGATCTTTTTTTTCAGTTCAATTTCATTTTTCAATTTCTTTCTATCTTTTTTTATTGTAAATTCTTTGGTATATATCTGTTACAAGAACTGCTTTGTTTTTCCAGACGCTGGTGATGTGAAGAGACAGCCCTATCTAAGAGCCCTTAATCAAATTCACTAAATAAACCTCAAAACTGGCAGCAGAAACCCAGCTTATTGACTCCGAGGCCACACTTTCAACCCCAAACTGTCTGTTAAACATGAGCGGTGTATCAAAATGCTACATTGTTCTCTAAATGTTTTGCACTACGTGAAGTCTTTGCTAATCTCAGCAATCTGTAGCTTTAAAGATCTATAAAAACCATGTTTGGAGCATAAAACACAGATGGACTTTCATGTTCCCCTTTCATTTATTTTCTAAAACTACTCATTCAGGGCACCGAGGCATTTATTTCTTATCTATTTGTTACTTATTGTGTTTTCATGTACTTAAGCTCTGTTGCCATGGCGACAGAGAAATAGGGACCCACTGCTGATTAGAACAGGAGATATTTAGATTCAGGTTGCAGTGCTGCATGTATACTCTAAATTCCTCATATGATTACAAGCAGGAAGCAAGCTCAAATCCAGTGCATGTACCTGCTGATGGGCAGGTGGCTGGCCTCTACTGTCTTCGTTCCCGCCAGGAAGCAACGATTTCAGCAGCTTGGGTACGGCTGGAGGGAAATGAGATGCAGCAAAACCTGAATCCACCCGTAAGGAGACGGAGAAGTTGCAGATGCAGAAACAAAAAAAAGGTGAGAGAACAACAGATATCGTTTTGAAGGTAAGTAATAGTAGGAATGGGGAAAAAACAGAGTCTAAATGGACGGGCATAGCTTGCCACAGCCAATGGCATTTAAGACCACGGTGGAAATGACACTTCAAAAGTCAGAAAAGGAGCACTTAGGAAGATAAATGTCGTGTCTGACGCACCAGTCTCTGGGTTTAGGTTCTGGGAAAAATTGGTGGCCAGCGATCGTCTGGACAGCGGAGGAACCGCAGAAAGGTCCTGATAACTCTCCCAGCCCTTTACACACAGGAGAAAACAACACAAAGCTCAAAGGTGAATATCAGTCTTTTTATTTATTTTTTACCTTCAACAGCCTCAATTTTTCGACCACGTGGATCTGCAAACCAAACTCCCCTTCACAGCAGTTACCATTTCCTTTAGCCATTATCTTTTAGATACCGAATTTCATTAGTTTTTCACTGACATGAAATACATTTCATAGTATATATCGTTATCGGATTATCTGTTATCCATCACTTTTACATGTAAGGGAATTAATTCAGAATATCGTAAATTTAATTTGTGTATTTATAGTTTAATCCAATATTACCATTCTCAACGATAGCGTGATCACCCTATTTCACTGAAGAGGAATTCACCATCACAATGCAGGGTTACCAAAGAATGCAAACAACTCTTGAGGGGAAACCCATCGACTGCCAATAAAGCAAGGCAGGCTTGTTTGATTTTTGTTTCATTCCTTGTCTTAATATGTGCATCAAATTTGTGTTGATTATCAACCTTGGAATGTATGAAATTGGTGGGTAAGAGAATCCCCAACTTTGAATTAATAATGCCTAGATGCAACATAAGTCAGATGTGGGCATACCTAGATGTAAGGTTAATAATTCAGCAGGTGAAGAACATAGCTCGTTTGAATTAATTACAGAAAGATGTATAACTCAATCTCCATCTTGTCTTATCTAAAAATTTGGTTTCTTTTTTTTGTTCATTTTTTTTTACACAATAGGTATATTGTAACTTCAACATATCTTTCTAAATAAATTTAAAAAAGAGAGAAAAATAACATGATTAAAAAGATGTTTTAATTGTTAATAGCCTGTTGATGGCCTATTTCTATTACTGTTTTCCAGCTAACAAGAAAACAAAATGTGAGAAGGGTACTGGTGGAGGTAAGGCACCTGATGCCTTCACACCTGCAGATGAGGTATGCCAATCGTGAAAGGTGTTGAGGAAGGCGCTGTCCAACCCTGGCACCATAGACAGTTGCAGCCCTTATGTGAAGGGTAATGTGACCATCACGTCTTACTGTGAAATGGTGACTACATGATATTGTAGGGCTGATTTAAGGGCACCACATGGCACATGCTGTTTTTAACTTTCCTCAGTTAAACAACCCTGCATTACTGAGTTAAGGTAGCAATCAAGATATAAGTGTTAGTTTTGACTTGAATTTCATAAAAACAAAAATGGTGAAAAATCTGTTGTAAATTAAAGCAGTGAGTCTCACTTTAAAGTCAATAAATTTAGGAGAGTAAAAGGGGTAGAGATAGAGGGTTGTAGTAACCTGTGGTAACATGTTAGTGAGCTAGTTTAACAGCAGTGAGAGGGATTAATAACATAGGAACGAGAGATAATAAATAAATAAAAAACAAGCCAAAGGTCTGCTACTCCACAGAACTATCTACATGGAAAAATCTTAGATGTATCTAAACCACTCTGAAATATGAACATACGAAATATGAATGGGTAAGTTTACTAGAACACGTGGGTTCATGAGATCTTTCTCCTCCTCAGGCTATTTGTCCTCATGGTCCATTTACGGGCTAGTTAAAAACTGCCATATCTGTACTTTAAACGTCAACACATCATGTTTGCACAATTACTAAATCATCCATCCATTTTCAATGACGCTTATTCCCAACTGGGTCGCAGGAGGCTGGAAACTATCCCAGCTGACAAGAGGCAAGAGACGTGGTACAATCTGAACAGGTAGCCAGTCCATATCTCCATGAGAAACAGACACCTGTGTCTAACCTGGTGGATGTTTGGTGAGCTCAGGCAACGTCTTGCAGCTTTCCCTTTGACAGCAAGCTGTTCCTTCACTGCCACCTCCTGTACACACATAACAAAGACATTTCTGTTTGCTTCAAATCACCTATGCCTTTTTGTTAATATCACCGAATTATGGTGAATTTTGATTGGGCTGATCTTCATGTAAGAAGATATACATCTGTTTTTTTAAACGAGAGACTAACTTAAACTAGGCTCATCGTTCCTGAACTTCATGAGCTTTGTGTCCTAACCTGTCTGAGTCTATCCAGAGTGAGGATGTTCTCCACGGCCAGGACGCTGCGTAGGTACTTCTCTATAGCCGCCTCGCTGTCAGCTGACTGGTCCTCCTCAGCGCTGGCTGCCAGCCTGGCCAGCATCTCCCTGTCCTCTGGGCCATGGATATCCTGCGGGGTCAGGGGCACACAATGTAAGGGTCAGGATCTCCATTAGCCATGCTGGGATGGCATGCTGGCATTTAGTTACCTACTTCAATTAAAAGCTGACTTATAAACCAGTCTTCTACTAAAATTAGAGATGTATGCAGTATGTGTAACCGCTTGGAAATATTTATTTTTCTTAGTTTTCAGGACATATATGCAACTACAGCCATGTGTGGACACAACAGAATCCTTACTAGTTATGAAATATAGTTTTTACTTACACCTGGGATGTTTGAAACTATTTCAAAGGTGACTCCAGAGCCAGGGATGGTGCTACGATGCGACATCCTTTTCAGCAGGCTCTGAGCGAAACCCTGCCGACAACAGAAAACAGCGCCATCTTTTAGAGCAGCCTCTGTCTTCAAGTCATTTTGGGCGATAAGAACCACATTATTTATTTATATTACCCTCTGCACTATACCATTTTTTTGCCATCCAGATATTTCTCATATTTACAGCAGAAGCAACAGAGAACCTTTATTTAACTCTTTCTTATTCAGATTAATTTGTTATGCAGCTCCTCTTGCAAATCTAGCTTTCTTAAAAAGAGAGCGTCAAATTAACATACTCTCATTTGAGCTCTGCAGGGAATATTTCACTGTCTAGGATTGTAAAAAAACATAAAATATGAGTCAGCTATTCCCTTATAAATTGCAAATGTCGGTTGACAATGAAAAGTTGAAGTCTGTGGTATTCAGAGAAGGCATGTTTATGCCCATGGGCTGTTCTAGTGATTCTCACCTCAGAATTCCGCCCAATTGTCTCCATGAAATCCTTTATGCATAAGTTGTTTTTTAAAATAATATCTCTTAGTTTGAAATAAATACGAAATATTCTAAGCAAGTAGCAGCTGATGAACACAGAGGGAAAAATGAAGCGTTGAAGCTGTGCAGCCAGGAGAAACAGCACTAGAGATTATATAGGTGGAGAGGTAGTGCCTGAGTTAAAACCTTTGGGAAAAAAAACTTGTAAGTCAGTATACAGAGCCGTCCAAGAGGAAAATGTGCTTAGAAATCATGTGACTTTTCAGTTTGCCATCATGCCTCACGGCCACCCACCTGCCGCCCTGCAACGTTGACGCAGATGCGTTTCCTGAGGACCAGCTGCATGTGGGCTGGGTGGCTTAGCTGTACCACGGTGCGGACTGTCAGGAACACCCTCTGGTCCGCGGATGCCACACGGCTTAGCTGGGGACACTCGTGGATTGTTGAGTCCCACGAGGCTTCCACTTTCACCTGAACCACAATCAGGCCAAAATTTCAGAACATGCGTGGAAAATCAGGAGCGCCCAGCACAAGACAAGTCCATGATGTCTCCTTACCTCTTGATTATAGTTCTTAACAATTTGGAGTTCAAAGAAGTCATCATCGTTTTCCCCGCTGAGCAGGGCGTCAAGCCCCCCAGACATCTGAGTGGTCAGACAGGACTGGAAATCATCAGCTGGAGGGACAAGGTAGACAAGAAACAAGTACTTTATTAGATGTCAGAACGGATTAATTTAAACATCTAAAAAAGAAAAAAAGGAAAAAAAGCATACCACTGAGATCAAGGAACAGAACAGGAATGTGCGTTTCCATTCCTGGGACCGGAACCCTGTAGAGAACCACTGATTAAACTCCATGAAACAAAAAGGTTGATGTATCCATCAGCATCTCTAATACAATAATTATGATGTAATTATCAGCAACAGCTATTCTCATGCAAAGCCATATTATCAATGCTTTATTTCCTATTTCATAAGAGAGTGATCTGCTTTTTATCTTGAAGACCCAAACACGTCTGAACGGGGCAGAGCAAAATGAGAGTGAGAAGTTTGGCCAAAATGATCATGAGCATAACTGAGTGAATTATGTGATTCTGTTTTGAGTCCATGTGGTTTTGAGAATAATATTTACCAGTGCAGCAGTTTACATAACACTTGCTTTTTTGGTATGGTTCATCAAGCCTATTTAAGATCCGTCGTCTGTACTGGTGAAATCATCATAATGCTGCAGGAAAAACATGACCAAAAACTCAAGGTCTTTCCATACTAATTTAATGAATATTCATTTATAACCATATACCATCCCATCTCTTGGCAGTGAATGCTGACTAACAGGAGATGGGATACCAGGATACCAGTGGCTCATTTCCTGAAAATGGAAAATTTTGACAAAGATCTGTCCTGTCTCATTCTTTGTAAAAATGACTGAAAAGAGCTACACACAAAACTTCCAAAGGCAGTATGTTTACATTAAAATAATTTTATATATGAACCACAAACTAACAAACACGTTCTACCACTTCTCAGAACAGAATTTTTAGGAGGAGCAACCTGGCCTACCCTACACGCAAGTTTAATATAAATTTAATATTTTATCGATAAGTATAGAAACACAACTTCCACCCCTGACATGAAAGAGTAAAGCCATGCGTTATTGTAATGTGGTATTTTTTTTATTGTTTTAACAAAATGTTTATAAATTTGAACAATATGTGACCAGGAACATATTCATTTATTTATTTGTTAATAATGTTATGCATTGTTTGTTTCAAAATGCATCCCCTGCTGCGGTGGACATCCCATTATTGTGAACTGGGCCTTTGTTTACAATAAACTTCATGCATCATAGTCACAAATAGGTTTTTACTGAATAATATTACATTAGAACCAATAAACTCTCCACAAAGAGAGCCTTTTGTTCCAATGTGATGAATACACAACCTATTATAATGCTCAAATGTCATAATGTGATAACATATTATTCAAACATAAAAAAGATGTTGATAGAAAAATGTATATATTATGGTTTAATGCAATGTGACTACCTTCTATATTAACATCACTGAGGTTAAAATGTTAAAAGTTTAAATGTAAAGGTTTTAATTTAAGTATAATAAAGATGAAACTCAAACTAGTTGAATTCATATGTACTTCATCCATAACCCTAACCCTAACCAGGAAGTCAGAGATGGCATTCTGCCTAATTAAAACTTGGTTCAATTATGGGCTACAGGATCAGTGATTTTACTAAAGAACAGTATAAATAAGGTCATAAAACACAGACACACCTTTCCACGGGCGCACCAGGGATGCCACTCCCTGCTGATGGGACCAGAACAGCATTCCGTTCTTCTGTGAGGGTCAGACGACACTCCAGCAGCTGGGATTCTCTTTCAACATCATCCTCTGACTTGTCTTCGTGCAGACATGAAAAACAAAAAGAAGACAGTCAGGTCAAAGAGAAATATTACATTGTAGAAAATATAATATTCTGACCATGAAATGGAGTGTGGAGATATTAAACACCTGTGGAAATGGTAACATAATACTTCCCATTTATCCAGTGGCTTATTGTATCTTTGTATTAATTTGAGAGAAATATTGCTGGCAGTGACAGCTGAATGAAAAATAAGATACACCGTTTCATATATTTTCATAAAAATGAGATAAGTTTTCAAATCAAAGTCAGAGTTGACCTTTTTCTCATGTATTTTGCTGTTACTGCAGCTATTCCTCTTTTTTCTTTTACCAATGAGAATTTTTTTCTGAGATAAGCTTTTCCAAGCACTATCAGATTTACCTGCTTTAGAGACTATCTTCTGTAACTGCTGGTCCAGATACTCCTGCCTCTGAGTGAGAGTGACCAACCATTGTTCCCTCATCCTCTCCAGGTCCACTTCCTACACACAGGGGGTGCACATTAGCATCAGAAAGACAGAAATGGCCGTTTTCCCTACCCTAATGTGACACAATCTTTGTCTGTTTCTACTCGTAGCTGACTTACTTGATAACTGTCCATCTCTTCATCAGCATCCTGGATTTAAATCAGACGTGTTTGATTAGAAATAAAGAGTGAGAGGTGGGGATTGAAAAGAAGAAAAGGAGAGCTCACTGCTTGGGTGTCGTTTTTGGAATGGCGTATCTGCTGGACCTTCACATCCCCAATGGAGACGGACAAGATGGAGGCCGTGATGAGGGGCATGGTGCCCGAGTCTGGGACTGAACGCATCTCCACCCGAACCCGATGAGACTGACCCTGAAGTTTCAAATTTATATTAGAAAATAGCAACAGGCCGGCGGTAAGGAAGGGTCTAATTCGTTATATTTATCATTATTTCTATGTATTGATGGGTATTAAAGGGGCAATGTCCAGCGTAAATAAAATATCTGAATAAACTGAACCTGTCTGAGCTGGAATATTCCGCCCGTACGGACATCTTTGGCAGGAAGAACTTCAACAGGTGTGAATTCTCCAGCATCATTCAGCTCCATCAGCTGCACCCACAGCTCCATCCGCCTGGTCACTTCACTCCACCTGCAAAAAGGACAAGATGTTTGGTGTCAACTTGGACAACTTTTCTGTTATTTTCATGAGTTCCAGGTGAAAACAATACAGTAATCAGGTTAAGTAATTAGAGGCATGTAAAGTTTATGGCTTAAAAAAGAAAAAAGGAAAAAATGCAGACTGCAAAATCTGTATGTTTAGCTGTGAAGTTTTAATTTATTTGATACATTTGATACTTAAAATGAAACGATAATGCCAGATTTCTGTCCAGATTGGCTTAAAATGATCAACTAAATAGAAAGGAATTCCTCCTTTTTCTCAACATGAAACATACAGTAGCTGTCTCTTAAATGCCATGTGAGTGTGCTGCTTTACACTGTCAACGTCAATGTTAACTTTATTTACTGTATATAGCACATTTAACAACACCAACCTCTGCAAAAAGTGCTGTACGCCAAACATTATAAGTGCAATGAATGAGTGAAAAGATGATTACCAGATAAACAAACACAAAAAGGTAATAACAACAACCAAAACAACAACAATAATAATAATAACAATAGTACATGAGACCTGCTCAGCTTGTGTTGAAAGCCAGTGCTAAAAGGTACGTTTTCAAAAACGACTTAAAAACATGAATAGACTGGGCCATTTTTAAATTCAACGGAAAGCTGTTCCAGAGCCTGGGATTCACTATGGCAAAAGCTCGGTCTCCTCTTGTTTTCAGCCTGGATGTAGGAACCTCCAGAGTAATTTGAATGAAGGATCTCAATGGTCTGGATCACGGATCGACAAAACCTAAAAACCTAAAACTGACTGGAAGCAAACACAGGAGTGCTCACGTTTCCTCATGCCCGTGAGTAAACGTGCCGAGGTAAAATAATCCAGGATACACGTAATAAAAGCATGAATAACATGCTCCAGGTCGGCCTGTGGCATGTAGGGTTTGACTTTTGACTTATTTGTCTGTCAAATTTAAACGAAACATCTAAAAAAAGAAACAAGATTCCTTGTAGACTTGTGGCAATAGTTACTCAAAGGACCCAGAGCAGGGACATCACATGACTTGACATGACCACAATTTCAGTTTTATTAATGGAGCCAAATGAGTGTGTCTGTGACCGCACCTCTCTCTCAGGGATCTAGTCTTAGCTTGAATCACTCCCAGGTCCCACAAGGCCAGGTTCCTGCGGTGATTTGCTTGTTTGTGGCCATAGATTTCAATAGCCACTGCTCCCTCAGCTAGGAACTCCACAAAGTCCTCTGATACCAGAACAGAAAGCTCCTGTGGAGCAAAGAGCAGAGGATGAAAAGATGCATTGTTTTCAAACTACAGCTGTCTCGTTTGTCTGTTTCGGTTTAATCCTTTACCTTGGCACTGTCAAAGACCACCGTACACTGAGGGTCTCTGGAAGCTGACGACGAGCTGGATGACGCTACCTCTGGGGCCGTGAACACGGGCCCCTCCTGCCCCCAGAAGTGATACTGACAAAAGACGAAGTTGGAGAGGTGGCGTGGAAGACCGGTGGCCTGCAGGATTTTTATCTGTGCAACAGATGGGGATTCATAGGCAATGTAAAACTCATCGACCACCAAATGTTCCAGTTTTTAATGCCGTTTATGAAACTCACAGCAATACAAATACCATATTTTCTACTGACAGAGGTTCTGAAATTCAGCTTCATATGTGTAATCTGAACACCATCTTGGATTTGTCCAGGTCGTGATTTCTTCACAGTATTTTATTTTTAGAATTCCTGTTTTTTGGGGTCTTATGAGCTTAAAGCCCAAATTATTCAACAATAAACAAATGAACACATGAAATCGTTCAAACCGTGAGCCTTATATCTATAAAAAAATTACTTTTTGAATGAAATTATGGAATCTGCACAACTTTTCCATGATACATAGATTTTTTGGAAACGGTCTGTACTAGATATACACACACATTTATTGAGTGAGAGTAAAAATATAATGCTGCATTTATTTATTGACCATAATAATCATGGTTTATTTCACTCTGAATTGAATTATTTGAAAAGTCCCCAGATGATTTGTAGGAAAGATTGAAGGCAACATGAACCATGTGACCAGTTTGAACTTTTGTGGATCATCAAAGTCATCTTTAGAGTATTAGTTCTACCTAACTAATTAAACAAATGAATAAATAAAGGAAAAGATATTTGCAATAACTCACCACACAGTCCAGTTTGCTCTCCTGAGGATCTTCATCTGTGCTGCTGTGTGTGTTGGGATGTCCAACGACTTCATCTTCAGAGCTCTCTTTACCTCGCCACACCTCCACATGCAACCGACCTGCCACCTGACACCCACACACGTGAAAACCCGGACCCACACACATCCCCATTCATCTTGAGTTGTGCTTCTGGCCACTTATAAAGCAAAAAATCTTATGGGTCTATTGGGTCTTCTTTGACATTGTTCGGGCCTATAATGCACTTTTTGCCTCCGAAAACCAGGACAAAGGCCGACATAGACTAATGTGTAAAACATAAAAACTGGAAGCCATCTCTTGTATTCAGCGGACTCCTACCTCTCCCTTTTGGTTGATGATAGGCACAGCATACGTCAGTTTTACATCATAGAAGAGGCAGGCCAGGAAAACATTGGCCACACCAATCAGGCTGTGGTTCTCCTGCTCGTCAAAGAAGGGGTCGGCCCGTTTGAAATAAGACCGCATCACCTGGATTGAGGTAAAAAAAACTAATCAAAATAAAACGAGTGAAATGTCATGAGAGCAGTCATTGACTCACTTCTGACAGCAGGCTCCTCACCTCTCTTTCAACGTTGAATATAGCTTCTCAAACATTGAAAAATCGAAATATTAGCATATATTGCATACATTTTCATTCAGAGAGGCGAAGTGTTGGCTGATATCATAGTCTGTTTTTCCACTTACCGGGTTATCCTCATCAAAGTCTTTCCACTCTTGGTAAAGCTCCCTCATGTCCACCAGTCTGTTCTCCATCTTCTCCAAAGCCCAGATCTGCTTCCCTTTGCCTTTACGGCGGACTTGGATGGCTGGCTCGCTCAGAACAGCGTCACGCTGTGGTGATGTGGGGGGGAAAAAAGGAAAAAAATACACTTAACTGAAGTTTTTCTTTCATTAAAACTCTCATTAGAACTTCTCCCTTTTCCTACCCACACCAAAATAAATCAATAGAATAGATTAATAATAATCAATGGAATTGATTAAATATTTGAAGTGATAAAAGCTAAATGTTATACTTTCCTAATTTTTTATCTGTAAAAGGAAAAAGAAATTCAGTGTAAAATGGACTTACCAACAAATCAGGGAAAAAAATATTTGTGTTCTATTCTATTTAGTGTGCTCTTAAAAGGTTTGGAAACTGCATTTTATGGGCTTTGTGTTCTTAAAAAAACAAAAACATTTCAATAGCTAAAATTATGACGCAAAAAATCAGAGAAGATTTCAATTAAAATTGTTGTGTTTTTTTTTGCTAGTCTGAGCTTTATATAAGATTGATCGAGTAATTTCGATAGCTTAATGTTGGGAAGCAGTATAATGATAGCGCTCCCTTCTCATGACACTTCAATGTTTTCGTGTCTTGAACTATTATCTGGAGCAGAATTGGTGAAAGGGCAGCTGTTCTTGTTTTTTATTCAAAAGATTAAACCTAAAACTCTGAACTTAATCTGCTCTGGTGCAGGTTAGGTCTTCCGTTTTTAGATATTGCAACTATCTGAGTAAGTTAAAACAAAGTCGCTTTCACAAGTTATGTTTCACATGGTACATCAATATATTTATGTTTCCATCTGTGGATCTATTTTAGAAACAATTTTTTGGCATCTCTAAAATAGGTCTTTACTACAAGAAATAAAAATACACCACTTCTTAAATTAAGCTAAATTAAGACTCAAAGACTCGAAACATCCTACCTTCCTGTTAGCATCCAGGTTAGCAGCAGGTATCTGCAAAGTTACCAGATACTCAGTCCTCTTGTTGAGCTCCTCAGCGATGAAGGTGGCCTCCTGGGCAAGAAGTTTGGCCCGAACAATCTGTTCCCTCAGACGCCGCAGGCTGCGAGTCATCATCGCTTCTCTGTAACAAAAAAAAAAATCTAAATGAATAATACCTAGATATCTTTTTCTTGTAGATGTTCCACATTCTGTGGTTCTGCAGCACCTGTCCTCACTCCAGCGGCGCATCCTTTTGTGAGAGGCAGTGGTGGTGGTGCTGACCGGGAGGCCAGATGCGTCCATGTGGAGGGAGGGTTTCTCGGGGGTAAGTCTCTGGCGGAGCTGCTGCAGCTCCTGCTCGTACATCAGCCTCTGACGCTCCAGGGCGCAGCGCTTCTCCTCCTCGTACTGCCTTCCTAGGGTCTGCAAAACGGACTGCATGGGGTCTGGATGGAGGAGGAGAAGGGAGAGCCACAGGGGGGGCAAATGACAAAAGAAGAAGAGAGGAATGGATTAAGAATGGCTCTGGATGTTTGGACTTTACTCCAGAGGCTGCCAATAATAATTCACTGAGATAATGTGCGCTAAAATTTTTCATTTTAAAAATATGTTTTCTAATTTTTTTTGTTAAACCTTTTTCAAATAAAAAATACATTTCTTAAAAAAAACATTAACATTAATTAAATTAACTGTGGAGTATGGATTTGAACATGATCGTGTTCTTAAAAAATAAAAAAAATAGTGCTTTTTATATGGTTGCTTCTGGCGGGCCTCACCGTTGGTGCCCATGCCTTTCATCATAACTTCGGCCCGGGCAAACTCGTAACCAGAGGTCAGCTCACTCGACACGTCACCAAATGTGTCCAAGTCCACTTCAATCTGTTCGGCATTTGGGCACGTCTTCATTACCAGGGCGCCTTCCTCGTCCTCGCCTCCTGTGTGGACCATGTGTCTGGGCAGGTTGATCCTGTGTGAGTATGGCCAGGTGGCAATTGTATGAGTGCATTTATAACCGTGTGAAGAAAAAAGGAAGTATAAAAACAGGAAGATGAAATGAGGTTCTGATAAAGTGTGAAAATGTGTTAACCACTGACGCACAGACCTAAAAAAGTGGTTGTTTCCCCACAGGATTCTGTCACCATGTTGAAGTTGAACTGGACTGGTAACTGCCACACCATTTACATATGTTCTGAACACATGAAAAAAAGGAGTTCATACTTAAATGAGAAAACACCCACAAAAAGACAAAAAAAACCCCTCCAAAAAACTAATAATTTTTCATTACACAAAGCTGCTATAATCTGACTGCGTACCGAGCATTATGGTGAGGGGTAAGCATTACACTGTTAGTCTCTGTGATATCAATGACGCAGTGCTCAGCTTGGATGGCCATCCCGCACAACTGGATGTCCTGAGAGTTGGCCGAGCCCACACGGGTGTGCTCCTGGATCAAGAAAGCAGCACAAAGAAGAGGTGCTCAAAAAAAGAAAACAGCATTTATAAGAGAGACAAGAATACGGATGCGTTTTTTTTAATTCATGCTGATCAACTTTTTATGAGTGGCACATGTTGGGGTTCAGTACTTTGAGGTAGTAGACCAGCAGCTCGTTGAGGGCTGGGTCAGCATTTAGGTTGACCATAAAACACTTGTCTTCCACAACTCTGATTCCAGACGACTGGAGGGAGATACCGAGGCTTTCCAGCTGCTTTTGACGCTCCTGCAGAAAGCATGTACATCCTAATCAATTCCTTAAATCTATTGGACGACACGGTTACTTTTCTGGCCGCTTGAGAATATGAATGTTGAACAAAAAGGTTAATGACCTAAGGTAATGCTAATGGAAATTAATTATTGAATAAAAAATGCCCCAAATGTTAGAATATTTCTGTTTTTGCATGATAAGAATGAGTTGTGTGTGTTACCTGAGCAATAGCTTCTGTCTTCCTGAGTTTCTCCTCCCAAGTCACTGTCATCTCTTGGATGAGCTTCTCTGATTCCTCCAGTCGATCCTTCAGCTCGGGGGCCTTCATTGACTGAGGGCGACACTGGCTGCGTTAAAACCTGTTCTTGTTACTGTGCCTCCATTTGCGCTCACTGCACTTTCACTAAACTGAGATGAATCTGCACCTCAGCCTCAGTGAGCTGCTCCCTCAGCTTCTCCACCTCCTCGCGGAGCTCGCGGATGATCCTGGCGTTTGGATCCTCGTTCACCACAGCGTGATTGATGATGCTCTTGGCCCGGTCAGCATAACGCAGGGTGGAAAGTGTTTCATCGTAATTGTCTGCCGCTGGGCTGATGGTTGCCACCATGGCGGTCCGGCTGTTCCCTCCAAGGCTGTCCTGCAGTTAGAAACCCAAAACTCTGTAAAACTAAGGTCACATTTTATATATATATATACACACATACATACACACACACAGACACACATCCCAGCTACCACAGTTTATAGTCATATAAGATGGGAAGAGGACTTAAAGCAAATTTCTGCTGAAGGTCAGCGAATACAAATAATTATTTGGATTGAGTTTACAAGTAGGATCCGTCTGAAACGCTTGTATTTCTAAAGCCAGGCGGGTAATGTGGGACCAACAACTGGAAAAGCCCCTCTATTTCTTTAGTATCAAGAGTTACTGTACAATAATCCAGAAGGATGGTTATAATAAAGACAAATATGCCAATAGACACAGCTGGAAAAGCTAGTCTTGACATTCAAGCTAATCTATTTCATGTGAGGTGATAAAAGAAAGAAACCATCTCGATTTAAAGAGAGATTAGCGAAACATGTGAATGGGGTATGTTTAAGACTTACCAATAAAAAGAAACACCCTGTTGAGCAGAACTTTTGAAAACCAAAGCAGAGCCTTGAAAGTTGGAACTTACAGAAAGCAAAAATTTTCAAATGAAAGTTTCTTTAGAAAAAAGAGGGACTTTTTTAGTTTCTTAAAAGCAAAGACACTGATGCTGTCATTCCTGTTTATTATGGACAATGCACAAAAGTTCTGTTATTTGTACCTTGAGTAGCCAGGTGAGCACGGAGTCTCTGTAGGGAACAAACTTGCTTTTGTTCTTTCCTGCTCCCTGATCAGCCAAAGCCGAGATAACTAAACCCAGAGTGCTGAGGGACCTGCAGGGAGGCACAGTGAGATACGGGGGATTTCAGAGGGTGGGGAGGAGCCTTAATGGATGTATAAAATCGCCACACATAATATGACTAATCTCAACTTGAAACGGGTCATTAGATATCAATAAGGATGTGTCAAATAGGAGACAAACACAGAAGCGGACAGCGATCCTCATTTGAAGAAGACTGCTTAGTCAATTACTTTTTTGACTCCAAAAGCAAAAAAAGCAGTGTTTTAATGACAGCTCACTTGTTGATGTTGCTGCCTTCTTTCAGCCTCTCCCCTGCTGAGCCCGTTTTTGCTGCCCGCTCACTTCCAGCAAGATCCACCAGACTCAGCTTGCTCACCTTCTCTCCGCTCGTCTAGAACGAGACACAAGACAACACACACACTCAAACTGAATGAAAAACGCCACTGTGAATTCTGAATATTGGGAAGAACGTACAAAGAATAACTAAATGGCTAAACAGGACTGGTAAACCTTTAATACGGCATCAAAATAAAATCTAAAAGCATGACAGCTATAGTAAAACATCAGCGTTGGACAGAAGAAAACACCCCAAAACATTTGGAACACTCAGAAAAACAAAAGGAGCTATTTAAACAAATTTGTATGTTCACATTACACTTGCAGACATCTTAAGAGCCACCTACATCTTACCCCAGACTGCAGGTCCATGAGTGTGTGTGTGAGGATGATGTTGAACACAGCGTGGGATCGGCTGCTCTCTTCGTTCATATTTGTGGCAGCCACTGTGCGAGACTTATTTCCTTCTGACATCAGAGACTCGATATCCTGTTGAAAAATATCCATCCCTGTAATAAATCACTTTCCCATGGCAATACAGTGTAATAATAATTTAAAAAAGAAAGAAATAGGAGCTTATGAGATATGATGTTTGTTTTACCTTGTAGCTGGATACTGCCAGGTGGGACAGACCGTCAACATAAGGCCCCAAAACTTTGTGCTCTCTTACTCTCAGAGCTTGTCGACTGCTACAAAAAGAAGCCAGTAACAAGCAATGCAGGAGTTACTTTATTGTTGATGCATATGAATGCTCTTAGTCTACAAATGTAGGAATAAATTAGAAAAATATACTCTGAATGACTAACTGTGTCCAGTCAAAACCAAGTCACAGAAATGGGAGCAATGTGTCCATACCCTTTGGGGTCGAGAAGGTCTCTGACTTTCTCGTTGTAAATCTCCATGTAGGAAACCTCCACCGTGAAAGTCTCCCCCTCACGAGCCTCCTGCACAGTTCTGCTAAACAGGGAGCTGGAGAGCCGAGGGATCAGACCGGGCTGCTCTGCTGAACCCATCATGGTGTAGGACTTCCCAGAACCTGGGGACACATCAAAGATAGCCCCATCAACAAAGCAGGCAAAGGTAGAATGGTTCAAACTGTGTGTTACATTATGTCAACTGTATCCATGAGCTTAAGCATTTAACAGGCTTGATTCCCTTAGAGATCAGAGTGTGGGTGGAAGAAACAAAACAAATAAAGTTGTAATGTGGAACTGCGTGTGAAAGGCCTGTTGAAAATGAGCCGAGGTAAGCCAAACAAAATCAGGATTCCGGCCATCGGAAGGTGTTTTGTTTGAGTTAAACTTGGATTTTAAGTTTACCTTTATGAACCACCAAGCTTTTAGGACCATGTTAAACCTTTAATGTATACATTTTGTTTATGTTACAGAATCCCATGATTCATTAAAAAGAAAAAATTAGGTACACACATTAACGTCAGGTCTTCGAGCGAAATAACATTAGAATTTATCTGTATTTTTTCTAAATCAAACGATTTATAACAATACAAACGTTCCCTTTGTTTTCGTCAGCAACAAGCTCCAACCTGCCTTGAACCTCTTGTAAGAGTTGGCAATGTATTAAACTTTGTTTGGCTTTTGTTTTTGTTTTTCTTTTAAAAAGGTTCCCCAAAAACAACTCAGAGCAAAACTCACATATACACACACAAAAAACAGTGGCATACAGCGTATACTAATTTAAAGTGTAGTTCTCATCACATTACACTGCCCACACAAACCAAAAAAATTAATAAAAATCACACTAATATTTTGTTGGGTCATCTTTAGGGTTCAGGTCTGAACACTGAGGTGGCCAATCATTGTATCAAAATTATCTGAACCACAATTTTAGCCTTAGGAATCTGGATTCCTTTGATGACATGCCTGGGCATCATCATTTTGGAATAGGCATGTGCCATCAAATTTGGACTTCTCAAACCACATCACCGTCTTGCTTTGCTCTATAGTCCAATCTTTAAGCTAATTGAGGCCTTTTTTTAGATTAGCATAGTAGTGATAAATCATTGTCTTAAGGCTTCACAGCTTCCTTCGCCTTGTGTATGTGGAATTGCTTTTACTTTCTCTATTAAAACACAGCCATGGGTTCTACTGTTCTACTGATCGCTGATATCATTTCAGATTGGTTTCTGACTACATTTCTTCCTCAAAAATGATGGTTCCCATCTATCCCAGTTTTTAACAATTCGTTAGACAGTTCTTCACCAAGTTTTAGTGGTTACAGCATTCTCCTTAGATCTTTTCTTGGCTTGATGCATGCCAATTATTTGCTAATTCAAAAAAAGATTAACATCTTTTCCACAACCACAGGCCATGAGAAGCTACTCACTGCATCAGTTTAGGTTAAATGATGTGTTGCCAGCTGAAACATAAACATCCAGTCAGTATATAAAAATGGAATAACTATTTGCTCTATCAAATCCAGGTGGTATTTTTGAAGGGGCATTTTATATGATAATAAAACAAAAAGTCTACGAAGTTACATGTAATACATTATATGTGAGTAGAGAAAGAGGAAGAGAAACATATTTTTTACATTTACTTATTTAGCCGATGCTTTAATCAAAGAGATATACAAGTGAGGGACACAGCATTCGAGCTTTCAAAGAGGGAAAATATTTTTTTAATTTTTATTTAGACCTCAATCTATAGAATCCACCTGAAAGACAGTATAAGTAGCCTGCATAACAGAGCTCAAATAGTATGGTGGAGACCTTAAAGTCACTTTACACTAGCATTAGTGACTTCAGTTTGATTTAGGGAGTCATCGTGTGACTAGTGTCCTTTTTGGCTATTCAAAAATCAAATGTGTTGCTTCTTTCTGGACCATTAGCTGTTAACAGATGCTAACCGCAGGCTGACAAAAGATTAGCTGTTTAACAGATGATAATCGCTAGTTGACAGAAAAAAAAGATATCTTATTCTATTATCATTGTTATATTAGTAAATATCCATAGAAAATACTTATGTTCAGTAGAACTTAATGAAATACCAGCAAATAGGTTTATCAACCCATTTTTCATAAATTAAGAAAAGTAGATACAGAAACTGATATATTAAAATAATAGTCCAAATACCATTTCAGACTTGGTATTGTTCATGATCATTGATTTATATAAGTCATTAAATTAAAACTGTGACAACTGAAGTGCTGTTTCGCCAGGATATATCACTTCTCATCTGTAATAGAGTGAAATCCACGTACAACCATAAACTTAAGTAAATTAAGTAAAAAATATGGTAGTACAGCTAACAGTATTCTGCCTGCATAATTAGAGATGCTATTAGAAGAAATCCCAACTCAGGTAATCAAATATTAAAAATGAAAGTCGATCGATACATCTTTAGAATGTTTCTCCCTAAAATGGCAGTGTTGGGGAACTTGAGATAATGAAAGAGTTTGTTTTTTTCATGTCCAACTTAAACCATTTCCTTACAGAATGCTTTAGGGAGAAGTAGAACTGATGTGAGATTTTTTTCAGCCTTTGTCTTGCAGCGGAAACAATAGCACTAACGATAATTACATTTAAAAAAAAAAGCAACTATTGCAGTTGAAACATTACCTGTTTGTCCGTAAGCAAAGATGCAGGCGTTGTAACCCAAGAAGGCGTTGTCCAGCAGACTCTCCCCAAGGCACTGAAACACCGCATCCTGACCTGAATCAACACAATAAATCACAGACTTCACAAAAGGACATTAACCCTTTCAGGAAATATCCTTTATAAAACAAGGATATTAGTTTTTAGCGAAACAATGGGAGACACTAAAAATGGTGAGGAAAGTCAACAGACACCCAAGGCTCAGAATAAACAGGGTGCATAGTGTGGTCTTATGCAATGCACCTGATGACGCCGGTGAAATATTAAAACCTGAACAGTAATATCAAAGACCGCACAGCTAATCTAGAAGCCAAAAATGTGTTTCTCTTCATGTTGCACCCTAAGCAGTCCCTTTCTTCTACTCTATAAATAGCTCGGAATATCAGGAAACATTCTGTCAGGAGATAAGAAGAAGAAATGACTCACCCAGTGGAGTGAGACATGAGCTAAAAACAGAGTGTGCCAAATCATGAAACGCACAAAAAGCCAATGACAACTAGAAACTTTACAAACCTGCATACTTGTCTTTTTGGGATTCATCCATAGACCAGAAACAGTAGTCATAGGCAAATGCCTGAAAGAGAAAGGGCAGATGAAATCTGCATTTACACATAAAACTGCAAACCTGAATACCAACACCACTAGAAGAAACACCTTCCTGTCAAAGATGTAGTTGATGTCCAATTTAATATTTACCTTTGGTTGGTTCCTGCAGGCAAAAGGGAAACAGAAAAAGAAACATAACATTTTAAATAAAATGAACACAGCATATATTAAATGTTGGCAGTGGGGCCTTATTGAAAATCAATAGTTATAAAGCCTAATGGTCACTTCAGACATGCGGCTGAAGTAGTTGTTGGTGAAAACCTCTGCCATAACAGTTTAATTTGTCTTCTTCTACTAAACCTTTGAGTTAAATGACTGCTTCTATTACCTAATTGTTCTAAACAGGTGTCAGGTCCGCTGCCTTTATCCACATTGAGGTATTTTAATTGTTGGAACATTTGAAGGATTCATGAGTGAAGGAAAAGTTATGTTATTGAAACTAAGATGAAAGATAAACAGAAAAACACGTACTCTGATACAGTAGCAGCTTTTCCTTAGTTAAAGAAATAACCACTGATTTAAAACCTACAATCCAGTTGTATTGTAGGTATGTAAACAAACAAATACATAAAATCAAGCTTACGCATTCAAAAAGACGTTTAAACAAATGATTGTTGATGAAAACATGTCCATGGTAAGCATTTGAACAGAGGTTATTTGAACAATTAATTCAAACATTTGAAAAACGTTATCTAATTAAAAAACAATGTGTGATAGAAAGCTACTGGTTTTTTTAGAATCCCATATATTTGTAAAATCATGCCACTTCTTGATTGAATTTTATCCTTACATAATATTTTGCAAGTACAGCATTTACTCTTAACTTACTCTCAACTTGCTGCTTCCAGGATATTCAAACTATACATGTTCAAGTTAATAGATGATGATATACTTTACAATAATCTTTGTTGACATCTAATGACATTGATTCTAAGTGGTGCTCCCTTGACCAGGACAATGTTTGGAAAAGTCACAAAAGCACCATTAGTCTGGCAAGTCTCTGCTGGTGTTTGAAAATTCCAGAATTTCTCAGCTACACTACCACATGCTATGCAATGAAAGTGAAGTGATCGGCCCATAAATCAGTTAAGCAGCACAAGATGTCCCCATTTCGAACTAAATGATTAAATGAGAGGACCATTTACACCTTAAACACTTTAAACACTTCATGCCACTTCTTGGAAGGAACAGTATCAAAGGCTCAATCCTTTCATACTCCATCTGTGCTTGACAGGAAAGTCCTGCTCTAATATTGTACGTCTCAATAAAAGAGTGCAGAGTAAAATACATAAACATGCATGCACTGTGACTTGTGATCCCTTCATGGATATTTAAAGCAGAGGGGAAAAAAAGCTGGCAAAAATTCTGTCATCAAATGAGTGTGACACAGCTTCAGTACAAGTCAGTGAAGCCAGAGGAGAGGGCTTCAAGGAAAACAGAGTCAAAGGTGTTGTATTCGTAGCAAAGCTTAAAAAAAAAAAAAAAGCTGTCAAGCTGAGTAATCCTCAGGGCTCCTTTGCCAACCCCACCCAAAGCTCTGCCTTTTCTACAGATTGCTTAAAAACATAGTTGCTATGCTCACCCTAAGTACCACAAAATCACGCGCATCATCCCCCCCACTCCCTACCCACACCCACACAGCTGCATTCCAGCAAATGACTGTTGAATTTAATCATCAAAGACGTTCTCTGGTTGAGAGCAGCTTCTGGGTTGTTTCCTATTACAAGTACAGCATTTCTGCTTGAGTGTAAAATTACAAACCAGAGTTAATATCAAAACAACATGTTTTTACAGTGGTTGTGACATTTCTGTTCTAAACAGTAATGCGAAAATTGGCGCTTCCTTTGAGTGTTTCAGTAGGTTTGATATACCCGCTTTGAAAAGGTGTACAAAGCACTATATAAATTCATTTCTAAAATGAAAATATTTATTTAAATTTCTCAGGACAAATACCATCTGACTAAATCCCAAGCAGGACTTAACTCTGGTCCATCTAAGTTTTTGTACATCACAATTTACATAGCCCACTGCCCTTTCTTTTTGTCTTAATGTTGATGGGAAACAAATTAGCATTTTACTAACTTTTGCTAGTAAAACACTAATGTTTTCAATATCCATCCATCCATTATCAATACCGCTTATTCCCTCATGGGGTCGCGGGGGGAACTGGAGCCTATCCCAGTGGTCAACGGGCGAGAGGCAGGGTACACCCTGGACAGTCTGCCAGTCCATCGCAGGGCCACACAGAGACACACAAGGACCAACAACCACTCACACTCACATTCACACTCCTAAGGGCAATTTCCCCAATCTCCAATCAGCCTAACATGCAGGTTTTTGGACTGTGGGAGGAAGCCGGTGTACCCGGAGAGAACCCACGCAGACACAGGGAGAACATGCAAACTCCACCCAGAAGGGCCCTGGTTCCCCCGGGATTCGAACCCAGAACCCTCTTGCTGGGAGGCGACAGTGCTAACCACCACACCACCGTGCCGCCCTCATGTTTTCAATATTCAAAGGGAAATCATTTTGAACTGGGAGGTTCCTCACTCGCACACTTTCCTAAAAGGGCATGGACACATAATAAACAAACAAAACTACTGTTGTATTTATGTTGATCTCAAATGTGCTAAAATTATGCTATTGAAATGATTTGTGATTTTCAATCTAACTTGTTTTTTCTGCCTTCAATGCTTAAAAATCTTAAATAAATATCAGATTTCAAACATTTTTATGGATTTTCATTATATATTTTTGGCCACAGACCGGCTCGTTTATGCTGCTTTTATGTATGGAAATAAGCCAGAATGTTACCTAGCATCACTGCCCACATACTGTGTGTGATTTACATTGGCATCGTTGTCTAGAAAAGCATCCACTAGAAGGCATTGCACAGTTCAGAAATGAATTCTGTTTCTGACAATAACAAGCATGGCGACAATAGAGATCATGACAATGCACCTTCATCTATGGAGATCCAGCATCTTATGGACAGAGAATCTTTCTTTGCTGCTTGCCTTTCCTTTTTAAATTGCTACTGAGCTACGATGCAGAACACTGCCCCCACAGTTTCCATTGGTACTGCCACATTTGGACAAGGGTCAGCAGGTTTTCTAAAAAAAATTACAAATCCATAGAAAATTAACAGTGGACAGACATGCAGATCCATTCATGTGGGTATGTGATGTTGAACATGAAAGAACCATAAGTCTTGTTTCAATATTCATCAACAAGAACTCAAGGGGTACTTAAAATACAGACGGTGTGAAAGAATAGATGTGTTATGCATTATGAAACAAACCTCTATAAAGGCATTTAGAATGTAGGGAAAAGGTTTCTGTACTTTTTAGGGTCTTGAAAAATATACTATGAAAAAAATAATAATAAATAGTCATTAAACCTAAGTCTCCAGGGAAATCTCATTTGAGATGCAGTACCATGTAAAACATAACACAATGCCTTCACTCAGGCAGAAACAACACTTTTGAGTTTGAATCAAAGAAAAGACAAAGACTGCAAATGTAGTCGTAGCCAAACAAATGAGGGAGCTGCGAAACAAGGCCTCCCTATGTGAAAAGTGAACAGTCAATGAAAGAGCAGCATTAACTCCTCTCTTCTACTGAGCCAGCGGGGACATTCTTAAGATAACTGGCAGAGCTTTGCATCGCCAAGGAGTCATTTTAGGGGGACGAGGGGAAGGTAGGTCACCGAGTCTGTGAAAAACAACATACAGGCCTCCACACAGCTTCGCTAAACTATATCATAGATATTTTTAATGAATTAATGGGTCAGGATATAAAACAAGCAATAATTTTCTATGCAATTGAAATAAATTAATGTCTAAACCGTCTTCTAACAAAATTTATGTAAGATATGTTCTTTTTTTTAAGCTGGTGCAGTCAGAGCCGACTGTCGTTTTAAAGGTCTGCTGACTGTTGGTGTTCTCCCAAGTTATGAAAGCAGTAACAGGGCTTCATTAATCTCCACCGTACTCTGACAGCCTCAGCTAAATTCTAGTTGAAGCTACCAGGGGTGCTGTAACATATTAACACTCCCAGAGGGATGTGCCTAATTCGGTTCAGCCACACATACAAAGTAAGCTGACTTAGCACAAACTTTTAAAAAGTGGCTGGTCAGAAAATTCTCCCACAAACAAAGCCTATCACAGATTTTGATTAGGGTAATGCAGCCAAATGATCACGCGACACACTGAGCAATGCAGTGACACAGAAAAAAACGTTTTTCTTAGTTTCAGAAAAATAACAGCTTATTGTGTCCAGTTTTTACACAATTTGACCTTTGTGTTACTCTGAAGCCATGACAGTGGTTCTCTGTGCTGCACTCAGCCTGTAAAACCTGTTCACTTCAATGTCCAAAGGGGAAACATACCAGTGAAATAAAGCATGTTGGGACAGATGAAGCATGCAGATACAAAAAAAAAAGATGAAATCCAAAATGGTTGTTGCAAAGACAAAGACTGATTCTTTTGTGTCTGTAGGGGATGACCCTGAGGAATATTTGGTGAGCAAATAAACTCAAGCAAGTGTCACAGCCTCAAGGGAACATTCACTTGGATTTGAAAAAAAAAACGTTTTTTTCTGTGTAAGCATCTGAAGGGCTGCCCTTTCTACTATTGAGCAAACCCGTTTTTTTAAGATAGTTGAAATACAAATTTTGCAAAACAAGTCTGAATTCTTGCCCTCTTCCTTTCGTCTTTTGTTCTTACTCCTTCCTTGCATAGCTTACTACCTGAGCATGACTGAGTTGGAACAGACACACCCTTTGTAAAGAGAGCAAGGAAAAAGTGAGGACTGATGGGGGAGGAGGAAAAAAATGGTAGGGAGAAACACAAGGAGGATAGGCAAGGCTTTGATCACAAGACCTTCCAAGCAAAAGTATGCCAACAAAACAGGTCTTCGCTGCATCTACAACTCTCAACCTTAGAGCTGACAAGGACCTGAAAAACAGCCATCGTGTCTGAGTGAGAAACCTCTGAATGTTTCTGAATAAAACCTAAGGCAATATAATGACTCAGAAGGCATAGCCTTATAAATGTTCAAGCATTACTAAGCACACCTATGTGATTGAACCCTTTCCCAGAAGAAATTAAAGAAATGAATCAAGACATATAAAAAAAAATGTAGGAGTTGATGGCTTTCCTGTTATGTGGTTTTATTATGTATGTATTCCACAGCCAACAGTCTAGGAAGTGAGCCTTTTTTTAGCAACTGATGTTAAATTCTTATTTTTTATGCATGAGACCTGAGTCAAGATCTTTTATGCTATCTCTCTAGGTCTTACTGTACAGTAAACAGGAGGACATCCTGCGTCTTACAGGGCGGTCTTACAGGGAATTCGAGACAACTCCAATCTCAGGTTGCATACGTTTTTCAATGTGCTCTTTTTCTCCCACTCAATATAATATTTTTCCTCATAATTTTCTCACTCACTGCAACTCATTCTCACACTGTCTTGTCACTCGTTACCCTGCAACTCTGGGCTCTGGTTGAGTGTGTTCGAGCAGCCGTGATGACCATAAAGCGGGGGCATTGAAAGGGAAAATCACATAGAACTAGTGTTTTCCTTTATTGTGTACAGCTGCGAGGTAATCAAGAGGATTCACTCAGAAAGAAAGGAAATAAGTGACGTCATTTTCAAAAACTCGTCAAAAAACCCACAGCCCCCAACTTATAAGATTTGAAAGCGACTTTAAAGAAAAACAAGTCCAAAGTCTTCCACAATAGCGGATTTGTCAGCACTGCGAGGGGACGTGGATATGCCAGTGTAGCTTTAGTAAAGGTTTTTATTTTAATCCATCTATTTGAAATGACAATCTGGAAAACTAGTTTCTTTTTCACTTTATTTTAGATTTGCCAGTAATGCAATATTAACTTTTTGATGGCAACATGAAGAATATATGGCTCAAATTCTTCCTGATAGTATAGCATTGATCAAGGATTTGATTTTACTACAATAACTGTTTCACAAAAAAACATTTGTATCTTTCAGCTTACCGGGGGTCTCCTTTGTTCACATTAGTGATGGCTGGATGCAGAACTGTCTGGTTGCCTTCCATCTCCACCACACATTTTGTTTTTAGGTCTTTTTCTAGGATAAATAGCATTTAGAACAATTTTAATTGCAACATGAATAAAATGTGCTTTTTTGGACATATATAAGTAAAAACAAAAGTAAAAAGAAAACAGGTTCACAAAAGTATCACAAAATATTTTCTAAACTGACCCACAAAATAACTTCTGTGTGTGGGGTCACCTGCAGCTTATGGTGTAGAATGACACCCGTGCACTCATTCACTAACTCACTGTGTGCCAGTTCCTCATAATCACAACACACACAGAGGGCAACATGGAGAGGCAGGAAATAGTTTTACCGACGATGATTCACCCAGAACTTGCCCGAGCAAACATTACGACCAATTTACTACTCCCATAACCAGACCGTGAAGGGATCCAGGGTCACACCTTTCCTTCTCATTATTCCTGCACATTATGACTTCAATAGCTAAAAACTTCAGAATGACGGTTCTGTGTCTTGCAACTATGTAATTTAACATTTAGAAATGCAAAGTTCCAGCTATATAAACCATTTGGGTAAAAACAATGCCTGAAATCCTAGGAAGGTATTATGCAACGCAGTATGTCAGCCCACACTGGTCAGTTGTTCAGGACAATGATTGTGCAGTTAAGATGCACTCTATAGTCATTTTTACGATCTTTATTCTTCAAATAAATAGACCAAATAGGGTAATCAAGGTTTCTAAGGCTGTAAAAAAAAACTGCACAGTAGTTCTAGTGTCACATGGCTTGATATTCCATCTGGAAGTAGGCAGGAGAGTTATCAAAATTCCATCAGATATTTATGACCAACAAAAGCTTTTCGCAGCATGGGTCATACGTATTAATAATGTTTATTTTGTGTTGGACAATTTACTCACCCCTCCTGTTCATAGGTCTTACGCGAACTGCGACCTTTACATTGGAGTCACTGAGGTTGTTGTCATCCATGGTGCCTCTGGACCTGCGGCAGTTGGGCTAATTGAATTGAATCAACACAGTTAAACCGGTTTTATGTATACATCAAACAGAGGTGCGAATTGTGCACGGAAAACGACAAAAACCAAGCCGAAGTACAACGTGGGAGCCACTCATTTGTTAAGAGCAGTTCACTTACCGTGTGCAGTTGTTTCTCCGTTTTGTTTCACACAGGCACCTTCAAGCGGTTACACACTGCAGCTAGCCGGGGACGCTAAGCGAGGGCTGGGTAACATCGGGTGAACATTCAGAGGGTCAAATCTGTTCATAGTGACCGCTGACAGCTGTAATAGTCCCTCAATACATTTGACATTTGTAACTTCTGTGCCTGTTTCAACGCGTAGAAGCACTTACGAGAAGTCCACTGTCAACTACCCCAGGTCTTCCACCTGTTGCATTTCCTGAAACTTCCCGCAGAGATCAGTCAAGCCATGTCAGCTTGCAGCTAAAGGGATTTGCGGTGAGATTTAGTCAGTGAGCTTTTAGTTGCCCCGCTCACAGCTGTTTTTAAGAGGGGTTTCAGCGCCACCGCGCGGATCCACAGGTCTGAGCACCTCTGTGGACGATTGTCGAAACTGCATTCAGAAAATCATAAAAAAATATATATACTCACCAGTCACTCGTTTCGTTAATATAACTCAGTTATAACGATCACACCCTTAACAAAATAAGGTATTTAAACATGAGTGAAACTTTACTTAGGAAAAACGAGTGTTTACCTTATTTTACGACAGTTTTGACTGGTGTGCAACAGACGCCGTAAACTGACGCAACGTGGAGTTGTTTACTATTACTTCAGTCACTGTCGAGTTATTCTGCCGATGTAAACGCTTTTAACAATTACCAGGACACGGGAATTTTGACTGTGCCCAACGGAAGACATGGGGAAGCCAAAGAAAAAGAGTGAGCTCATGACACAGTGTTCAAAATCCCCGAAGTGGCTTTAAACTGGTTCGGCTAGCTGTAGCTTGTTCCTAAAGCCAAGCCCATATATGTCTTTGAAGACGAATCGATTTGGTTTTCCGCACTTATGTCTCTCAAACCGGCTTTGGTGTTATCTTATATGTTTTAAACCTTTTTATCCAACACTTTTAGTTTACGACACATGGAAGATGTCAATGCAACTTCCTAATCACCTTCTAAATGTTGCTCACTACCAGGTGACCTCAGCAGAGCTGAGCTGATGATGATGACCATTGCTGATGTTATCAAGCAGTTGGTTGAAGCCCACGAAGAGGGAAAAGACATAAATCTCAACAAGTGAGGCATTTTTAATTATTTTAAAGGCACAGCTTTTTGTTGTCAGTAACACAATAACTTTTGAACTTAATTAGACTTAATTTAACTTCATAACTTTTTCCTCATAAGCATAAAACAGAGCCACATCATTGGTTTGGTTCTTAGCTATATTTATGTCGGTATAATTATATACTAAGGACTATATTCACAGACTTGATTAAAAGCATTGGTCGTTTTTATAAACTGTACAATTTTGTCCCATACAATAGGACATAGAACTTCACAATTTGGGTTATATATTTAATAATTTTGATAATGATAATTTTTCTTATCTCTTAAGATTGAACATTTCTTAAATGACACATGTCATTGTACCTTGGTTGTGCTGTATTTATTTTTCATTTTCCTGGTTACCTTTTTTCTAACAGGGTTAAAACTAAGACCTCGGCTAAATATGGACTCGAAGCCCAGCCCCGTTTGGTGGACATCATTGCAGCCGTTCCACCGCAGTACCGTCGTGTTCTGGTTCCCAAACTTAAAGCCAAACCCATTCGAACTGCCAGCGGGGTGAGAAGCCCGTATTCTTTAGTCTGCCCGTCTCTCTTTGAAATCTACTTTTATAAATTCAATTGCACAATTTCCCATAAAGGCTGTGGTTTAACCCGCTTTTGTGGCATGTGTTATTCAATAAAGTCAGTTTGCACATATAAACTGACATCCTCAAATGTTTTTTAAAGTGTTTGTTTCAAGGGGTCAGGTTGTTATATGTGAAAATGGTTATCTTAATGAATTCACAATAGACTTTAAACAAGGGATGTCCAACTTCAGTCCTTGAGGGCCATTGTGCTGCAGGTTTTAGAAGTTTTCCTGTTTGAGAACACCCGATTCTGATGAACTGATTTCAAAAGCTCTGCACAAACCCGCTAATGGCACAATAAAGTCTATCAGGTGTATTGAAGCAGGGAAACTTCTAAAGCCTGCAGGAATGGACATCCCTGCTTTGGAGCCTCCTGTGTGCCCCAGAGATTTGCTTGCACCACCACCGTTTCCCTGCCTCAATACAGCATTTAGAGAGAACATTATGAAATCTTGTGTGAGGAGCAACTACTGGAGATACTCTGGACATATTTGCCCCCCCTTCAGCCTGAAAATCTTTGGCATTACAGTTGCGCTATACATAAGTAGTGGTATGCCCTAGCTCTACTTAGGCCAGTATTTTTCATTAATTAAAAAAAGGGAGATGTATTTTTAAAGTTTTAAGTGGTTGTTACACTTTGATAGTTGGAGCTGTCAGTTAATTCTTTTGGGTCTTTCATAGATTGCTGTTGTAGCTGTGATGTGCAAACCACATCGATGTCCTCACATCAGCTTTACTGGAAACATCTGTGTGTAAGTGGCACCTTTTTGATCTTTGTTGTTTCTGAATAAAAAGTTGTTGTTTTTTCTTGATTAATTTACATCCTGCAGATGTGAACAGAGCTTGGTTATGCCAGTAACTGTTCTTACATAAAACCTTAGATAGGTAAATGTAACCTTTGAAATAGACAGCAGGTATTTTTAATCCTTTGTTTTGCTATCTGACCTTTTCACAGAGAGGAAGCACACAAGAATGTATTTTTTCTGGCCGTCCCAATTTCATATGTGTTGTTTTTTTGTTAATGTTAAATCCATCTTTATTTTGGTAGCTACTGTCCAGGTGGACCAGATTCAGACTTTGAGTACTCGACACAGTCTTACACAGGCTATGAGGTAAAGCTGTTTTATTTAATCTACACACCTAAAATAGCGTGGTTTATTTAGAAAAATATCTTTTAAGGTGATATTTTTTGTTTGAATTTTGGGTAAAATTAACATGAAGATTTTTATTATCAGTATAATTTGATAATGTGCTCCTCTTTTTGCCTCAATTAGCCAACATCAATGAGAGCAATCCGAGCTCGCTATGACCCCTTTCTTCAGACCAGACACCGAGTTGAGCAGGTCAGTGAGATGCCACCCTTTTCTGTATTCAAAACCATTTTATGTCTTTTAATGGCCCTTACAAATTGCACAGAGTTTGGAATAGCATAACAGCTCAGTCCTGTTTGGTAGCTGTGGAATGTGGCCACTTTCATATGGTCACAGAATTAACCTCTCATTAAAGCAGCAGTTTCCAGTAATCACCCGCAGCAATTACAGTATCTGGAGCAATGATGATTTATTTGATATGCTCTAATGAATATTCATGCTTTCTTTGGCATTCATGACCTGCCCCTTATTATGCCATTGTTTTTAGTTTATGGTCACATTAATCTACAACGGAAGAGCAAAGCCACTTACTGAAGCGACCTATGTACGAATCAGTGCTGATTAGGTTTTATCTCATTATCCTTTTCATGCAATTTAGCCTTTTGGAAGTCAGTTTTGGATCCCTTATATTTACATGTTAATTTAGATGTTAATTTATGTCATTAAAATCCCAAAGTCAGCCAATGAAATCTAAATTTGATGAAGTTACTTGTAACCTCCCGTGTGATCTGCAGCTGAAGCAGCTTGGCCACAGTGTTGACAAAGTGGAGTTCATCATCATGGGGGGGACTTTCATGGCTCTGCCTGAGGAGTACAGAGATTACTTCATCAGGAACCTGCACGACGCCTTGTCAGGACACACGTCCAACAATGTAGCTGAGGCCGTCAGGTACTCAATAAGTTAAAATTTTCTGTCAGTTTCTATTCTTTGATCTGTTGCACCATGAATACACTACAGCATATGAAGATAAACACAGTCTTACGGAGCACACAGAGAGACAGCTCTTTATTTATTATCTTTATTTATGCTTTAATTAAAGGGAACCTGCATTATAACAGGGTTACATTTATTTGTTTGTCGAGTTCTGCGCTATCCATTTAACTCGTTTAGGTTGTTTCTATTAGAGACCCAAAGCTGAGCTGGTGTTACAGAAATGGTTGCATTGGATTCTGATACATAAATATGACACTTTGCAGTCTAGTTGAGTGTGTACATGTCATTCTCCACAAGCTCCAATATCCAGGTTGGGTTTGAGAATCTCAGTGTAAAAAGATTTTTGTTCACACGAACATGTCCGAATGCGTCTTTAAAATGTCTGGTTGTGATGGGAATAGCATATATTACTTTCTAAGGTCCTGCCAGTTGAAGTTGAAAAGTGTTGGTGGTAAATTAAAAAAATTGCATTGTTTAGTTTGAGATTTAAAATGATTAATATTTACAGTGATTAGCAAATGTGTTATACCACCATCCATTATAGGATTTATGCCACAACTTTGCTAAATTAACAGCATCATTAGTTACCAAAGCATTTCTTATGTGTTTCTGCAACAGATTTGTATTTTCTCAGCTTTTCCTGTATTTCCCACCAGAGGGAGCCAGTCTACTGTCCATTCCCTTCAATTCACAGTATAATTTCTGCCTGGACCAAAGTGCAAGGGCTTTGAAATAGAAAAGAGAAAATACAAATTTACTTGTATCTATTGCGTTACCAGGCTAGAACACATTGGTGTTTAAACCAGAACTAGAAACATTTTGGAAGGCATTGATCAATGTATTAATTAATCTATTTTTCTATACACTCATCTGGGTCTAATCCTAGGTCGACTGGGAAAAATTACACTTTTTTTTTTTTTTTAAAGGAAAAAAATTGAATCAGAGCAATTCATAAGACTATTTAATTTTAAACTGATAAAAGATACTGTGAAATCAACATATCTTTTTTTCCATTTAACCTTTTCAGCAGTTTTACTGTGTCATTAAAAAACAGAAAGGAAAGGCTAATCCTGTACCTCCCCTGTCTTCCCCTTTATACAGAGCTTACAGTTGGCAGTTTGTCAGTGAAAAAATACAAACGGAGGCACTAACAAAATTTATCTGCCTTGTTTTTGTTTAACAGTGATGGTAACACAGCAACTGAAGTGCAAATGGAATACAGATACAATTAGGTTGCAAATATGGACTCTACTACAAATGGATGGATTTTAAATTTGTAGATTGGTATGGAAATTTGGTAATTGTTACATGTATGTACATTTACTGAATTTAAAAGATGTGTGAGAATGCAGTTCACACTGCAGTACTACTGCTTTTTGTGCAACAAAATGTTAATCATGTTAAATCTATATTTATAGTTTTTTAGTAGGCATTTATTGACTTCAAACAAAATATTTTGAGCAGCATGAAAAATGTTCAAAGTAAGAAATAAAAAGGGAACATTACTTTTTTTCTAAATTTGAAATATTCACATCTGAATTTTATTTTAACCCCTCTCAACACTCTTTCCTTGCTTTTTCTAATCAGAATCAGAAATACTTTAATAATCCCAGAGGGAAATTGTTTTTGTTACCAACTCCAGATATACAACAGCATATACACAATATATACACAACATTCCATACAAAAATATACATAAATATATACATATGTAACTATATGTATATATACAGATGTAAAATAAGTGATGATGATGATGATGATGATAGTGTGCATGAATAAATGTAAATAATTTAGTCAGAGTTACAGAGGGGGGGTGTCTGACTCTGAGGGAGGCGTTGTAGAGATTGATGACTACAGGCAGGAATGATTTCCTGTGGCGTTTTGTGGTGCATCTGGGTGAGAGGAGTCTTTTGCTGAAGGAGATCCTACTGGTGAGAGGTCAGGTGGTATCGGGGAATTTTTTCTTCTTTTTCTCTGCCAGAACCCAATTTATTTATGAAAGCTCCGTTGAGCTTCATATTCAATTCTTATCCCCTAAACTTGGCTCATAATGATTAATGCACACTATTAGAATTTCTTGACCAACCCCTGTGCTCCTCAGACTATCACATACTGTCTGAGGAACAATTGATGGCTAGCTCCACAGAATCAACTGTTGCATCAACACATTGAGAATGCAATGGGGGGGGGGGGGTAAGTGAGATAAGAGAGGCCTCTCTCCATAAGTCCTGTTCAGGTCCTCCAATCGATTTCTCGCTGGATGAGTAAGGCTGGGCCCAAACAAGATTGGGCACGCATCTGCTTAGTATGTATGAGTTGCAACTTTTGTGATGATTCGTTGCAGGTTTAAAGTCAAAGTAGAAAAGCACATTTTATTAAGAGCTACCTCATTCGAATGATTGGATCAAATAATGGCGTTTTCACAGGGATGAAAAGCCCACTGACGGTTTTGTAAGTAGTAGTAATACTTTCCCAAAGTCTGATAAGCCCCAAGAGGCCAACTTGACGGTATGTCGATGTCTTCTTTGTAATATTTATCCATCTGACTGGGTGCATATGAGTGCCTTCTTTTACCCCATACTGCTATCAGCATGCTTTGTTAAGATACTGTGATTACAGTAATTGTGGAGACTGTTGTTCAGCTCAGAAAGGATGAGGCATTGAGCACTCGGCCCCAGGCATATTGTGCGTATGTTTGCTCGTGAAATTTCCAATTTTTGGTTATGGGGTAGGGGGGAGTAGAAGCTAGTGTGTATGACGCTCACGTCTTTGCCTCTCACCACGCACCCCGTGCTCTCGATCTGATCGCACCAGCGAGATGCCTTGAGATAATCGCCTGAGATAATAGACTTTTTATTGATTCACCTCACACAATCTGATCATCCTCCGTAGAACATAAACTCTTGTAATTAGAGTAAATCAGGCAACAGACTGTAAAAGATGGACATTTATTGCCTGCAGATACAAAATTCAGTGGAATAGAGACTGGCATGAGAGGCGCTAATGGTCATTGGAGCAGCTGGAGCAAAGAAAATGACAGGTGGCTAGTGTTCTTAGATGACATTTCTGTTAGGTCACTTGTGTTTTTTTCCCCTTTTTTTTTTTTTCAATCAGCGACTCTAATAGCTTTTGAAAGTAGTTGCTAAGTCAGATTGGCAGTAGCCAAGACGTATCTGTCGTTAGATTACATTTACAGATGACCGGAACCGGAATACTGCATCACTGATGATCCCATTCTACATCCACATACTTCTTGTCGCACTTTTATGTTCATGTTTTATAAACATGATTATCACAGTTAAGAGGCTCAGACTTCATTGGGTGATCGTTTGTAAAAGTTTCAGATTGCTGTACAGTGAGCTACATTTACATTCTTCCAAATGTTGTATACAGACCAAAAAACCTTGTACACATTGACAAATAAATGTAAATGTAAATAGTGTAGCAATGAACTCATATTATTTACAATTAAATTACAATAAAACATGATATTGCTAGGACTTTTACAATTTCTCTTAGATGAAGATGTCTTGGCGCCGAAAATGGCTGCCTCGGTGCTTTCACCAAAGCAAATTCCTTGTATGTGTAAACCTACTTGGCAATAAACCCAATTCTGATTCTGATTCTGATTCTGATATCAGACCATCTTTAAATGAAAGACACAAAAAGTAACTTTTTCCAAAAAGAAAAAGCTGCACGGCTGTAATTATGCTATTTGGAAACACATTAGTGATATGATTGGGTATGTAAGAGCACCTTAGAGGCAGAGTGTCTAAATAAAAAGGTGGAAAGAGACCTAAATGATCATAAGACATGAAAATCAGTGACTGAAAATCATTATAGATCAGTATGTGTTATCTTTTTGCCTTCAGGGCAGCTCTGCTTGATTCTGTCATGGAAATCACTGCACAGGCTAAGGAACACTAGCAGAAATAATCATCTAATAACTAGGTTAATCACAAATTAAGTTTAGCTTTGCCACGTATATAAAAGGAGGAGTCTGTCTGATTTGAAATGGACTGAGCAAAAAAGGAAAGCGGACATGATCAAGCTTATTGTAATTTGCCTGAAAATCTTTCCAAATTTATAGGTTTTAGGCACTTTAGTGTATTTGGAAGTGGAAGATCTTGAAACCATTAAATCAACTGGAAGGTGTATACAGATTTCTTCAGGAAAGATCTTGCAAAATTAATCAAGTCAGAACTACATAAAATACTGTGGCTTATTACAGCAAAATGCTTTTTTTTTTTTTAAAGTAGAGTCTGATTGTTTGGTTGCTCTGTCTGCCTCAAAATCTTTCACCAACTCAGGACATTTAGTGCCATATGATAAAGATATAAAATATAAAAAATAAGATCAAGAAATATTGAGGAGCTAAATACTATGTTGTACAAGAATCCACCCCAAAAGATCCAAAAACAAATATATTTTTAAAAGTGTTTATGTGAAGAAAGATACTTTAGTTTAGCAAATCTCAGTTTTATTTTATTTCTTTATATTCTAAAAAATAAATAAATGTAATGTAAAAAAAATGACATGTACATTTGTGTGTTTGTGTTTGTGTATATGTTATACTTGGTTAACACTATATTTATGAATTAACAGCAAAACTGAACTTTTTTCAAATTTAGGGATTGGGAGGGGCTTTATCTTTACTGCATTACTATATCATTAATGTGAGGTTAATGTTAACTGCCTAGTTAATGAGTCATTTAAATTTACGGCGTGTAAATTGATGTTAAATGATGCCAGTAATATTTCCCATTCACAAGGCACCCTCAAATATTTTGCCATATTAAGTCTCTTTGAGAGTAAATGGTTGAATTAAGCCGTCACCATGCTAAAAACAAAGATTAAAAATTATGATTAGACTGCTTTAATGTGCAAAAAATTATATCCAAACCCCGTTCTTCCTGCAGGTACTCTGAGCGCAGTAATACCAAATGTGTGGGAATCACCATAGAGACACGGCCAGATTACTGCCTGAAGCGTCACCTCAGTGACATGCTGAGCTACGGCTGCACCCGGCTGGAGATAGGAGTCCAGAGCGTTTATGAAGACGTGGCCCGTGACACCAACAGGTAAACGGAGCTCAGGCGCCCACATAAACAAGGCCATATACCATGTAAAAGTCTCAAGCCATCTCTTATTCCTGTGTGGGGTTTTGTTTTTTGTTTTTTTACAATGAGCCAGAGCACTCCGGGCTTTCTGAAGGTCTTTGAATTTTGTTTTGACTCTGGCTCTTTTCTTTTCCCCAATTTTAAGTCCAGTCCTTGTACCTGACTTTTTGTTGTTGTTAAATGGTAAATGGACAGTACATGTCTCTAATCTCAAAGGTTACCACTCACAGTGCTTTTACACTAAATGCCACATTTACCCATTCACTCACACAGGGCATCTTATGATAAAGGGCTGTCTACTTATTGTACTCCATTTATACACTCATGGATGCACCAGTAGGGAATTTAGGGTTCAGTGTCTTGCCCAAGATATTTTTAAAAATTAAAAAAACTTTTATATAAACTACAGACAACTTGGCAAACAACCAATTCTAAATGACATTTTTGCACTTTTATTGGAGCAAAAAAATTTAAAACGCACAATTAGATTCCAATCTTCTCAAATTGCATCTATTAAAAGGATAACCTTATAGAGTATATATTTTACCAACTGGATTAAAGAATTAGAATAAACTGGAAACGTTTAGAACAATAGTTTGAGGAATCCAAAAATAAATCAATAAGAAAACACTATCTACAGCAGATAAAAAGTTTATGAGCCTGACATCTTTACGAAATCCAACAAACACCTGACACAGCACCGGAGACATGTATCTGGGCTTGAAGTTGGACTCTTTACTGTTACAAGGCGAAATGAGCTCCCTGGAAGAAAGCCTAGAGTCCACAAATATTTGAAATCTTGCATAAATTAAATATTTTTATGATAAGTACATTAAATCCTTTCACCTTTCTTTTTAAAGACCCAAAAGTGCAGACAGTGGTTTTGTCTGTTCTCAATTTTTGGCCTCGTTCTTGCATGTCAGGCAAGTAGTTATGCCAGATAAAAAGTTCAACAATGTCCTAACTAACTTTTATAAGGTCTTAGGACCAGAAAATAAGTCTTTCTAAAGGTAGTTTTCCCAAACTTTTCATAGCTTTTCCTTTTTCCTCCCTAGTGGATTGATATTCTCTTGTATTGTTTTATAGCTTTGTGCTTTTTTCTCCATTTTTGGCAGTTAATATTATTTTCCTAGTTCCTCCTATTATCGGATTGATTTTGGTTTATAGTTAATCTTTCATTGCCCTGTTTTTTCTCAGTTAAAGGAGTGATGATTACTTTCTATAACTTTTCATAGTTTAAACCTCCTCCGATGAGATTGTCGATTTTCTCTACTTTGGAGAACTAATCAATAAAGATGATTCTTCAACTAAATCCTGCATCTGCATCCTGTCTCTGATCCTGGATCGGGACATTGTGGACAAACAAACTTGCACTATCGGTGAACAATCTTCCCCGATCCAAAATTATTCGAGGACTGAAGAAGAAAAAAAAAAGGTATACACCTTTTAAATTTTCCTTTTAAATAAAGAATTGAGAGGTGGGTCTAGTCGTTTGAACAGTGCTTTACATAGGAAGCATTCATAATGTGGTTCTTGTCGGTCTGATTGTGCTAAAATGATGGATGGGTGGATATAAGTTTTTAATCTTTATGTTATCGTTTTGTGTATCTTCCAGAGGCCACACAGTTCGAGCAGTGTGTGAATCTTTCCACCTGGCAAAGGACGCCGGCTTCAAAGTGGTCGCTCACATGATGCCAGACCTTCCCAATGTTGGCATGGAGAGGGATGTGGAGCAGTTTATTGTAAGCATGTTTTTTTTTCCCCTTTTTGTTCGTTGGAACCAGAAACAAGGGCAGATGAGGAAAAAGTTTGAAAATAAACACTTTAAATGATTTTGTTGTTGAAAGGCACACGTACATGCATATAACCATGTTATTAGCTTTTTTTTGTCCAGAGTTCTCCATCTACACTACATCCAAAGGAGTCATTTCCAAATACAGGAGATTTCTAATTTTTTTTTTTTTTAAAGAAGAAATGTCTCCCAGGGGAAACACTGACATTTTTCCTTATGAGCTGCTGTTTGCAAGGTTCAATGCAGCTTTCAATCACCATATTCTGCCAGAAGTATTTAAATATAGGTTTGCTATGGAATATAAGGGGGAATGAAAGCTCAGTGCAGACAGTTGCACTTCGCTGTGCTCCACTTTTAATGGAGCAACAACAAAGATATCATACGTTAGCAGGGTGTAAGCAGAAGAAATGGCAGCATCTAACAAAATGAAGAGAACTCCGGCTTAAAGATAGCATCAAAGCAAACCTAGTTGATCATTAACTTTATTTTTGGTGACATTAGTAATCCTACTTTCTTTACTCGATATCGAGGTGCATCATCAGTATGTTACTCGTAATCATGCCTACACATAGCATCTTAAAATATCAGAGCAAAAGCTGTGACAGCCGCCCAAAGCCGTCACTCTGATGTGGTGTGATAGAAAACCCTGTCAGATGCTACTCAACAGCAGGCTCACTTTACTTCACTGATTAGAAACAGCTACGATATGATCTTGCAGATTCTCTTCAGCCTGCAGGATGTTAATGGAGGCTCGACTTGAAGCTGCGTGCATTTCCAGCTCATTCGGTTTATTATTACAGTAATAGAACAGAAACCAGGTGATTAAAATGCTTCTCATTACTTTTGTTGCAGGTGAGGCTCAAAGCTTACGTCGTCAGTCACCATCTTGTAGCCCCGAGTATGTTCATTTCTCCCTCTTTTACGTGTTGATTTAATTTATTTCTTTTAAACCTGTGACAAAATAGTATTTTTCTTAAAGAAATTAAAACAGAGGGCTGTCACGCCATAGTTGCCCTTTAACGTGTAATTAGTTGGGGGGAAAAAGAAAGGACGATCAAAACAGGTGTAACGTGGAAATGTTCATGGATTTTACAAGGTGAATACATCCGAACACGCTAGATTTGCATTTTAGTGTAGATTGGAAAGATCTTGAAGTTTCAATTGGATAAAATTAGCAATTTTTCCCATTTAGATTCCATTCAGTAATGCAGAATAAATAAGCAAAAAATTTAATATTGACAGACTTGTTGGGTATTTTTATAAACGTGTCTGAATGCATTGTCTTTCTTGTTGTTGTATTAAATGTCTGCGTTTCCCCACATTATTTCTGTGTGTGTGTGTGTGTTTGTGTGTTTATGATACGACTTGCTGTAGACTTTACAGTGACTGTAAAATGACTAGCAGCAGACGCCCATCACCGCGAGAGGAAGTGAATTTAATGTGTGTTTGGCCCCCATAGCCTCTTTCTTTCCTTTTTTGTGACATTTTCTTCATCACTTCAGTCTAGACTTCACTAGTTCAATATTTTCCCTGTCCTGTTTCCTTGTTTTTTCCCCTCCTCTGTTATCTCTCCTTCCGACCTTATCTCTTCCCTCTCTACCCCTAACTTTCCACTTCATGATTTCTCTCCCCCCAATCATCAATCTCCCTGTCATTGCCCCTTTGTCCTCCTCCAATCACGCCGCCCCCCCCCCCCACTGCCTCGCTCCTCTCCTTTCTCATCAAACTGACACTTACATTATACAACGTATGCGCGACTTCTCTTTGCCTCTATTTTACTATATACAATCTGTATATAGGCTCACAGGCGACCATTAATTTGGAAACAAAAATCACTGCATGAACCAAACTAAACAATCCATAACTGTAACTGGAATCCATTCAATTCAACATCTAATGCTGAATTACTTCATTACATTTGTTTGTCATTTTGCACAGAGGTCACCAATGAGTACACTTGGATGTGAGAAATTTGGGTTTCAGAAACTAGGTTAACCATATTTGCGAAGAGGGAAATGTGTTCTATGTTATTATCATGGATGCATGCAATTCATTTTGGAAATCATGTGTAAAGACAACCGGTTTGTTACAGCGAAGCTTCAACATGTCTCTCCTAAAAATTTTAAAGTAAAGAATGTAAGTTCATAGATGTCCTTTCATTGGCAGCTCTTGTTACTATGTGCAATAGCAGGTGTCACCCCCTTTTTTTTAAAAAACTTTTTATCGGTTAATGAGGCCACGCAGGAATTAGCATGTCTACTTTCACACTTGCAGAGAGGTCTTGGGTAAAACCTTTAATCCTATAAATGTTCACTCTGTTTTATCAATTTGGCAGACTTGATTTCATTGATGGGTCATTTCCAGGCTTTTTGATCCAATTTGATAGAATCCGAGCTACATTTTACAACTGAGATGTTTGCTTCTTGTGACATATCACCCCTGTGTGTAACCCAAAAAGAGAGTTTAGTATTTTAAAATATTACTCAAGCAAAATAAAGTAGAATGTAGTCATGCGCAAAATCAATTACTGAAAGAGACGAAAACAATTTTTTGTGTAAAACTATGATTTATTGATTTAACAATCTGGAGTGAATGTCCTCGAATAAGATGGAAATATGTGACATGATACAAATATACAAATATATGTATATATGTAGCGGTTGTGGTATATGTAGACGTTGAGTCAGGATACTAATCTGAGACTGTTTTAACCCGTGTTATTTTCAGACAATTATATGAATGAAAATCTAAGTCATGACATGTTAACTTTTGAAATCAGTCAACTGGAGGATTGAGGTATACATGGACTGAATGTGAAGCTTGGGATGGTCAGCCTTATCTGGCTCTGAATGTTTCCACCATTGTAGCCACTGCTTTGTTCTTTGTATATCCGCACAGAGTTGGTCATGTAACTGCCAACGGTCGTCTGAAAGGAGAAACTCATGTGAGGGAGGCTTTTGTGGACATCTCTCAACAAAACCAAAACAAACAGCTGGCATTGTTGTCAGGGGTCAGATGTTTTTTCAAACAAATCTGAAGGCCTTCAAGGCTGCATCAAGGTCCTGAGAAGGTGATGCCTAAGACCATCACAGCAGGTCAAAAAATTTTTTTCCGGTTTATGACGTTCTCGCTGGTAGATTGACATTACTCAGGTAATCCTGTGTCTTTATTTGATTGTGCATGCTTTGCTGAAAAATGTGCAATGCCCTTTAAAAACGTTCTATTTCGAAGCATCCTACCTTCTTCAGTACATATATTCTGACATATTTCTTACTTGATTGCTGTAAAAATTGAACGAGTTTCCTGTATGGCGTTTAAATTACCTTTTGACCCGTCCAACCACTCCAGACTCATGAACTTTTCAAAGATTCAACACCACTAGTTTCGTTTTGGGTGTTTTTTCCTTTTGGGTGAACTGGTCTCTTTTACAGTGCCAATATTTATTCTCTCTTCGTGTTTTCTTGTCCAGAATTATTAGATAATTGAACAAAGATTAAGTTTTGATAGTCACAGCTTTGAAGTGGTTGCTTGATGTGTTTGTGCTTAATTTTTTTTTCATTCATGGTTTTGTCAGGACATTGTCAGATGCAAATTTCTTTACTTTTTTTTTGGCTCATATTTTTTCTGGGCTTTTTTTGGCATCATAAATGAGGTTTCAAATACAATAGATATATATATAAATGATTGTGCTGCTAAGAGAGAAGAAATAAGTAAAATATATAAATGGAGAAAACGACACGAGTACCGCTTTCCTTAAGTGCTAGGTTCAGCTTAACTCATATATTTGTTTTAGTCAGTTATGATTGCAGCTGATATTGTTTTTGTTTTGAATCCTCCCTTTCTGTTTCTATTACTGAAATGATGTGTTCAGTGAAAGCCTTGGCTTTGGCTGAATTAGAATTTTGTCTTATTTGCCCACATATCTGAATGGCTTGATGTTCCTTTTGTTTGGAATCAGAGCTCTATTTTTTATTTCCCTCCGTGTAAAGGTTGGCACAATTCATAAGCTACTATTAGCTGAAAACCCTTACTAACTAGCCAGAGGAGAAGGAGCTTTTTGGATGAAAGGCAGCAACTAAAATGAAGAGAGAATTAAATGACAAACAAATAAGAAAGAAGCCTCTTTGGTTTTTGTGGCATTAAGAGTAGGTTGATCTCAGCTGTTTTCAGTAAACATTGCACATATGATTTCTAGGTAGGAACTTGGATTTCAGTGGATGGATGTTCTATCTGAAACGACATACATGTAAACCCACAATTTCATTCAGTTTTCCATTTTAAGAATGCAGAAAAAAATCATTTTATTTTCATTGTTCCTTATTTCTTTTAGAACCATTTCCCTAGACTTTTTAGATTTTCATGATCCCACTAAGTGTCTTCCGTCATCAGGGGCCCTTTGGGCCTTATAAATGGCAGCAGCAGGTGGACATTAGCATCCTTCTTCTCCTAAGGGTGGATTTCGATAATCTATTCCTTCCAGCAAACATGCCCCAAGTTAGACATCATTAACAGGGCTCCTCTATGCCAAAATTCAAGAGCTGTAACATGCCATTCAAATTGGTAGAAGGTACAGAATCCCCTTAAAAATGTCTCAAAGACATATTATTTGTCAGATTAGCGATTTTCCCCCTCCCTTTAGGTTTACTGCAAGGCCATGTGGGGCACGTCCTTTTGTGATTATGAGCTGTGACGGCAGAGAGATTATGAGATACTGATAATGCAGTCTATTTTTGAGAATGTGCCTCGATTTCAGATCTTCACGGTCCTGATCATGATAGTTAGTGCGTAGGAGAGAAGAATGACTGGAAAGCACGCTGATTTCCTTCACTGCACTAAACCAGGTCACAATATTTGTATCAGCTCCAAAGAACGTACCAACACATCAAACATGCATTTAACAAAAGTAACCTGTACTGGTGAAACTACACATTTACTGTAAATGTCCGTGATGTTGTTGCACTTCAGCTTTACTCTCTAAAAATTATTCCAGTATTCTTAGTCTCATTATTCATGTAGCTCTCCTTGCTTGTGCATTGGAAGAAGGCCCAATCATCAACTTCTAATGATAGAAATATGGTCTACTTTTACTCACGATTAAAAACTCCGTCCCTCCGCTCCAAGGAATGTTGTTTTTATATCTATTATCACACACACATTTCCATGCAAACATCTATAATTGTTTTTTTGTAATGGTGTTATGTTGTTGTGCTTTGATGTGAAAGTAGAGCAAGGAAAGGCAAGTTTATTTTTATAGCACCTTTAATGTACAATACAATTCAAAGTGCTTTACAAAAAAATTTAAAAGCAGAAAAACAATAAAAGAAAATTCATCAACAAAATTAATTAGATAGACAAAAAATGAAGGGTGCAGATGAAATACATTCAGTTTCCATATGCACAATTAAACAGAAGTGTTTTCAGCCTGGATTTAAACATTGTTGGGGCCTGTCTCGCCTCTTCAGGAAAACTCTTCCAGATATTAGGAGAATGAAACTGAAATTAAGGCTCTCCTTGCTTAGTTCTGACTCTGGGCAACAAGAGACCGGAACCTGAGGTTTTCAAGAGTCCGAGCTGGTTCACACAGCTCTAACATGTCAGAGGTGTATTTCGTCGCTTGACTATGAAGAGACTTGTACACAAACAGAGCTGTTTTAAAGTCTATTCTCTGAGAGACAGGAAGGTAATACAGAGACCTGAGCACTGGAATCGTATTGTCGTATTTCCTGGTTCTGGTCAGAACTCTAGCAGCAGCATTCTGGATGTTCTGCAGCAGTCAAACCTGCTAGAGACAAATGCATGGTTTAGTCTTTATAGGTCTGGTATTCTTCTGATTCTGGCAATGTTTTTGAGACGGTAAACTCATGTTATTGATGTAATGTGCCTTTTAAAGCTCACGTAGAGTCCAGTATTAACCCAGGATTTTTTTACCTGACTTTTACTAATGACTAATGCCTGTTGGTTGCAGGAGTTTTTTGAGAATCCAGCATTCAGGCCTGACGGTTTGAAGCTCTACCCAACCCTGGTGATCCGAGGCACAGGTCTGTATGAGCTGTGGAAGACGGGGCGGTACAAGAGTTACACTCCAAGCGCTCTGGTGGACCTGGTGGCCAGGATTTTGGCATTGGTTCCACCCTGGACACGTGTTTACCGGGTGCAGAGGTGAGGCAATATACAGCCAAAACAACTAAACAATTGTTTATGTTACTGTTGATTAAATGACCCTGTATTGGTCTCACAGTGGGGAGACATTGGTATGTAAGCACTATATTACTCACCTAACCTAATCTTACAATTCCAAGATGGGAAGACATCTGCAATGAATATATCAATCTTTAACTTTAAAGCACTGCTCATACAAAAACAATAGCAATGCAAAGTGCTTTACATAACTGAAAACAACAAGCAAGAAATAACCAGCAATTGACAATAGTAATAAGGAAAATTAATTCATTAATTCATGTCGCACAAAGACAGACACACGCAGACAAAAATCTACACAAAAATGATTCTCTCTAAGCTGTGTGTTAACCCTCATCAATGTCTTTTTCAGGCCAAGTTTCAATGCATTAGCTTTTGAAACCAGTCAGCTTGACCCGAAGACAATACGGCAGTTAAAGTCATATGGTTGCCTCTTTCCTGCTGTTTGGTTATTCTTCTCTCATTTTATTTTACATCTTTCTCACACTGTCCTCCACATTTCTCGATGCCACACCGCTCAGGGACATCCCCATGCCTCTGGTGAGCTCAGGGGTAGAACACGGCAACCTGAGAGAACTGGCTCTCTCCAGGATGAAGGACATGGGCACGGAGGTAAGGCTCAAAAATTTTATCAAACATTCATCAAATCCATTTCCGCAAGTAGAAATGAGTAGCAACTTCTGTTACATGAGGCAGGAAACCCATTAACTAGTTTCTATCAAAGAAGACAATAGATAAAACTACAATAACTATCTGATTATGAGCTCTGTTAGCTTGAGAGTCAAGTTGAAAAGATGCTTTAGATATTAGTTGAATCCCCCCTTTTCTCTCTCTAAACAGAGAATATTTTCTTCAGAATCAGAATCAGAATCAGAATCAGAATCAGAAATACTTTAATAATCCCAGAGGGAAATTATTTTTGTTACAGGCTCCATAAGCAAAATAAAACAAAGGCATATACATATGTACATGTCTATACATATATACATATATATATACAAAATTCCTCATAAATAAAGCTAGATATATACATAAGAAACAATATGTGTATATGTAGGTCAAAATGAGAGGTGGATAGTGTCAATGATTAAGATTGACTCTCAGAGGGAAGCGTTGTACAGATTGATGACCACAGGCAGGAAGGATTTCCGGTGGCGCTCTGTGGTGCATCTGGGTGAGAGGAGTCTTCTGCTGAAGGAGCTCCTCTGTTGGGCCAGTGTGTCGTAGAGGGGGTGAGACACATTGTCCATGATGGACTTAAGCCTGGACAGCATCCTCCTCTCTGCCACGGTCAACAGAGTGTCCAGCTCCTCCCCTACAACATCACCCGCCTTCTTGATCAGTTTATTTAGTCTGTTGCTGTCTGCGATCCTCAGCCCACTGCCCCAGCATGTGACAGCAAAGAAGATCGCACTGGCCACAACAGACTCATAAAACATCCTCAGCATCGTCTGACAGATGTTAAACGACCTCAGCCTCCTCAGGAAGAAGAGTCGGCTTTGGCCCTTTTTGTAGACTGCCTCGGTGTTCTGTTTTGTACTTTTACATCATTCCTTAGCAAATATTTCTCTATGGAAGCTTGTCCTTCATTTTCACATAGAGGTAGAAACTGCCTCAGAATAGATGCAGCATTTCATGTCACTTATTGCATTGCCTATATACAAAGATGTCGAGACAATACTGCTGAAGTTATCCAAACTTTGACCTATTTTCCTGTTACCCTTTCCATGATAAACAAACCTGTCTTGCTTTTTTCCTACTATGCTGTTTCTTTCAGGCAGAGCAGGGTCTTTTTTCGTTGTTGTTGGGAATAAAGCTAAAAAGTATATTTAATTCGTCATTTCTTTTGAGATAGTTGCTTGTGCATGTCACAGAAGTCTTAATTATAATCGGTCGAACAGTTAAAAATGGGACACATTTGTGGCTGCCATGATATAGGCACAAAAAATGCTTTTTATCACTTGTAGATGTATTTCAGGTGCGGCAGGTTATACTTTTTACCTTTTTTCTTAATGTTTTCATACTGCTTGAGACTGTAAAGTTGTTTCACTGTGGTTTCGTCTTCTTTTTAAAAAAAAATGTTCACTTTCTAAAACAACCTGGAAATAGTTGAAAGTCTTTATTTTTTACTGTCTGTATGTATGCTACCCTTTTTCTTTTAAATTGAGCCAGTCACTGTAGCACTTACAATGATGGCCTATGTCACTCTAACTTTACAGTTTCACATTGTGTATAGTGCATGCATGTGATGACAGTTTTCAGGATGTCTTAAGATTTCGTTTCTTCCCTGGTTTTACCCTTTTGACTGTCTGTGTGTTCAGTGTCGAGACGTAAGAACTCGAGAAGTGGGAATTCAGGAAATCCACCACAAAGTTAGACCTTACCAGGTAAGCTTTTCAAAGACTGATAACAGCATTCTAATGATGGGTTTTTGCATCATCCAGGCAATAATTTAGCACAAAAGTGACAAATTGCTTTATTGGCGTGTGGTATAAGCTGACAAAAAAAGATGAATATATTTTTGAACAGGCCTATAAATGATGTGTATACAGGTTGAACTTGTGAGGAGGGACTATGTTGCCAACGGCGGCTGGGAAACCTTCCTGTCTTACGAGGACCCGGAGCAGGACATCCTGATTGGTCTGCTGAGGCTACGCCGCTGCTCGCCACAGTCGTTTCGCCCGGAGCTGAAAGGAGGAGTGTCCATCGTCCGAGAACTGCACGTTTATGGCAGCGTGGTCCCCGTGAGCAGTCGAGACCCCAGCAAATTCCAGCACCAGGTGTCTATATTAACACAAAATAAGTAACTTCCCTTCTCTATCCTCTCTGAATGTTTTTACCCACTGTGAACAGAGGTAATTAATACCAATAAGGGCAAAATGTAAAAAAAAGTTTTTGTAAATGAGGCATTTTTATCTACTCTTTCCTCTGTAGGGTTTCGGAATGATGCTAATGGAGGAGGCTGAGAGAATTGCCAGAGATGAGCATGGCTCCGGAAAACTGGCTGTCATTTCAGGTAAGAAATGAGGCACAGCGAGGCAAAATCTTTATTTCCAGGCCCCTCCCTGCCTGTTTTAAATGTGATGATAGTTTTTTTCGAGGCTGAAGTGAGATTTAATGAAGTCCAGTTGTTCCCTCCAAGGAACACAGCAAATGTTTTAGCATAGTGGGAGTATAATCACGCTCTGGGACTTTTTGGCTGTCTGCCTGATACTAAGTGGTTGGAATCTTAAGGAAGATTGTTTCAGCATAAATCTAAGCCTTAAAAAACCCCATAAAACTGTGGTCCAAAATGACAATAATCCACAGGGCAAATCACAGTTGAATGAGGAAAGGATGCAGCCCAGTTGGAGATATCTGGACATTTATTTTAGATTGGGTTATTGACAAAAAGCTGTAAGTTTAGATTAATTCCTCGGATCATGTACATTTTTAAATACTCAAATACATGGTGTTTGACATTTATCTTTAATAAACATTTTTATTTTAATTTGCTTTTATCTTTGATAGAATTTATTAAATCAATGGTGTATATGTACAGCACCTCTATTTGTGAGTTAACCTCTTAGCTCTTTGTGGTGAGAAGGGACATTTGAATGTAAAAACAAATTGACCAGTGCATGGAAGTGAGACTGGTTTGGTTTTTTAAATTAGCTCCAGCAGAGTTTGTTTTAATGTCTTGGCTGACGATTGTATTTACAGGAATGTGTATGTGGTAAGTTGTAAAAATGCCACAATTGAGAAGTCTGTCCTCAAAAACTGTTTGTTTTGTGTGCTTTGTCTTGCAGGGGTAGGAACGAGGAACTACTACAGAAAGATGGGCTATGAGTTAGAGGGACCTTATATGGTGAAGAGCTTAAATGGTCCACGAATGGATTGAGCCCTATCTGTTTTTTACGGATGGTGCTTGACCATTGACATGCCCACACCTCCCTATTTCCTTTATTTTATTTTATTTTTTAATCAAAACATAATTGCTGCACTTCTAGCAGAAAAACCGTTCCAACATCAGAAGAGATAATGTTTTGGTTTCTTTGCACAGCCCGTGTACCTGCTTTTATCTAAATACGCATCAGGCAACACTGCTGCTGCTTCCTCCATTTTATTAAGATAAGAAAATGTGTGAGAGGACTACGGAAGCAAAGCTATTTACTTTTCGAAGCCAGCCTCATCTGGTAGCTGAGGTTTAGAGGTCACCTGAAGAGCTAAACACATTTTACAGGTAGATTGTAGAAGCCAGAGGGTCCAGGATTCCACCAGTGAATTGGCTTTGAAGTCACGAGCAGCAAAGACTGCTTCTAACATGGAATAAAAAGCAACCCACCAAGCAGTTTTGGATTTCTCTCCCATAATAGGTGTTACATAATGATTAGGTATTCGTGAATAATTGTGTTTGTCTGGGATGAGACGCCAGGTTTGAGTTAATTGTGTTATGCTGCCGTTAAATAGAAAACCCCTTTTAAGTCAAGCAGTCATTAATGGTTGGCAGTGGATGAATGAACACTGGGAAGTGTCCTCACTGGGCAGCCGGTATGAAATTTCACAGTTTGAAATTATGGGGCAGTAAATGAATATTGATGTTACATAAATCACTTCCTCTTTTAATTTTTTTAAAGCCCCCACCAGATAATCCTGTGTCTTGTTTTTCTGCCATGCAATTGTCGGGCTTTGTGCCTTCTGGTAAAATCCAGACAAACGCAGAACTCTCTTCTCCCTCAAAGAATAAAGTATATTTCAGTTACAGTTTTATTCCTTACATTGTGTGAGTCTTTCATGTGTGCAAGACATTTCAGTAAGTGAACCTAAATGACAGAATAGTCAAAAAGGTCTCAGCTTTTAAAGAAAGGTCACAGCAAGAGAGTGGCTTTTGTAATATATTCCACAATGTCAAGGGTGCCAGCCCTTTCAACAGACCCTTGATGATTACCTTATGAGACTGTTTACCTGGCTCATTTGATCCAGCATTTCCAATTATATCTTCATCAGCTACCTGTCTATTGAACATTGACTGAATGTTGTGTTCAGCCACACTATTACTGGAAAGGATTTGTCATTTGAAGAATAGCCAGCAATAAAGCCCAAAAGGCTCATTTCGCCAACCTATGTCTCATATAGATTCCAAGTGCCTGGGGTGACTGAAGCTGAACGGTCACGCGTAATTTCCTGGCTGTGGCCACTGTGCCCGGACTCTGTTGGTGTTGCAGTCCTGACGCATTGAGCAATAGGCCACATTGGCGTTTCCTCTCTATGCTTGCTCACTTCTGCTATCATCTGTGAAATCTGAAAGGACTCCCCCACTTCCCCCCACCCCAACTCCCATCCTCACACTCGTCTGTGCAAAGCTGATTTGTGCTGTAGTGGAGACAGAGTTTGCTCTAATCTTCACTGCAGCATGAGCAGGAGTGTTGAGAGTTCGCTCAGTTGAAGGTTATAGCGCTTGCCTGCAAGGATTTCTACAGTAAAAGAGGTGAAAAGTGAGGGAGGTGTTTTGAGCGTTGCCATCGTTAGATTTCATTTGTAGTACTAGATTTAGACTCCTCGGGAAACTCGTAATGATTCAGCTGTCTTGTGTTATGACATTTAACATATTTACGTTGAATTGACTTGAATTAAAAAAGGACATTAGTGTTGCACTATGAATAATTGATGATAAAAAATAAGAATTTCCAAGGAAACCAGCCTCCTTATCCCTTGAAATGGATAAGAATATACCTGAGATGCATGAATATCTAACCGCCAAACAATCCCTTTAATATATAAATTATTAGTCATTAAACAGGTCTAGCATCAGTGAGTTGGTAATACAACAGAAGCATGCTGTTGGCATAATTTTGAAATCATGCCAATAACATCACCATTAGGACTGCCATTAGGGTGTTTAATTTAGCAACTTGTCAGAGAGCGGGGCATCCTCCTCCTTAAGCCTCTTCAGGGGAACCATTATGGCCTCCTGCTGTAATTAGCTAATGTTAGCATGCTGAGCTAAGATTATGTGAAATACTTTATTACCAAACATTTAACATAAACCTCTTGTAACTGAGCATGGATAAGCAATTTGGTAAGCTATTAGCTTGAAAAACTAATTGACCGCAGAAAATTATGGATAAAAATTAATAAATATATACACTGGTTTTTCACTAGCACACTTTATATTTTACTCCTTAAGGACTCCCATGGATGGATTCAAGCTAGTTTTATCTTTAAAACCAAACTTGGAAAGTTTGTGCTTTAAATAAAAGGTTATAATAAATCAGCTGTTTGTAATCCTTTCTCTGAAGCCAACACAGTGGTTGTAAATTGATCCCTTTTTAATGTAATTTCAATTTTGAGTAATGGATAAGAATGTTTGGCAAATACAAATTAGCTGAATCAAATTGGCACCCTCATGAGAAAGTGAGGGAATATGACTTTCTTAAAAAAACAAAAATGTAACTCAGCTGAAGCATCATATTAATGAACATTGCAATGAAACTAACATTTTCATACTTTAAGATATACTTTGTACTAATATTTGACTTTTCAATTTTGTTGGAGTTGCTGGTGAGTTGGTGAATTGGCACTGCTGAGTACATAGATGGATGACTTTAATGTAATCACATCTAGCAGGTCATCATTTTGAATTAATTTGTCACATGAATAAAATAAAATAAAAACAATCACCAAACATAGTTTGAAAATGTAATCTTTATTCAAATGATATTCTATTGAGACATTTTGTGACAGTTTTTGTTATAACATAGTATACTTCTCTCAAGCATCTGAAAACTTCAGTTACTGAGACTGAGATGGATGAGCAGTAATAAATGGTGTGGATGGGGGCGAGGATATGGTCGGCAACATTCCTTAATGGCTGGTTTTAATTTCCTGTTCTTTGGATGATGGTATATCAGTAATCATTAGTCACAGTGACCCTCATTCTGCTAGATCACAAAATACAGTGGATCTTCCATTTGACACATTTAATAGCATTTTCTTTATGTACAACCTATATAAACAATATTTACAATAAAAGACAAGAATAAGCCCTGACAAGAAATATTTTCAAGTAATTTTTAAACAACTAAGACAAAAAAACTTCAGTCAATAAGCAGGAAGCTTAAATTCTTATGCAAGGTTGTGGGGAAAAAAAGGCCTGCAAAATGACCGATTTGCCCACGCTCTTTCTGGAAAATTCTTAATTATGTTTACCTTTAGTAAATACACTTTATTTGAAACATAAAAACAAAATACTGTCAAACTACAACAAAATAATGTAGACAATAAGTAATTAGTGTTGCAGTTATTTATTAATTCTTCTTATTGCATTGTAATGAACTGAATATTAGATTTCTTAGATCTTGTTAAATGCTACATTCAAGTTCAGTGATATTCCCTGGGCAAATATATATATAAAAAAAAGGTTTTTGTTCCAAAATAATCAAATAAAATCAAAGTTAAAGCTGATACGACGCAAGACAAACAGCAGCAATCCTCTGCACCTAAGATCAAACTCTTAATAGAAGATTAAAATAGATTTTCCGTGTAAAATAAACAGCCAAAAACCACAGCATGCAGTTCCTTGGAAACATTAGTTCCCACCTGATCGGAGCATGGATTCAACTCAAAATCAGAGGATTTAAAGTCAAATGGACTACTTTCAACTAGAAAATCTCAAAGCTTTAATGGACTTGTTGAAGTTTAGTCATGTTTTCCCTTAATGAGACTTAATAACCTGATCTTTTGCTTCCATGGCAAAAAAAGCACCCGCTTTTTGCAAATATATTACCCTCACTGTCCTGAGGGAGCGAAGCAGCTATTGTTGACATATATTCATTCCAGCTAAAATGGTCATTGTCTCTTGAGTGCAGCTTGAGTCAGTGGGAGTCCTCTTTCAAAGCAGATCGCACTCTGGCCTCCAGCTGGTCAGCCAGCGGCCGCGCATCCGGGTCTGAGGCAAGCATGTCTAAAAGCAGGGCACACATGGCTGGACCAGGAGGGGGCGGCAGCGGGGGCGCCCTCCTAAACTTCATAGGGATGGCCAGATGAAGGTCAGCATTCTCCCACAGAGCCTCCCCAAGCGGCATCAACCAGCCCGAGCGGCCCTTGCACACGTAGGCACCTAAGGCACAAAGACATTTGGAAACCACCCGGAAGTGTCCTGATCAGTTATCAAAGCAGAGACTGTCACCTTATCTATTATATAATCAGTTTTTTTTTATGAACATAAAATATAATCACATGTAAACCAAAAGTACAACTTTAAGTTCACATTAAGTGGTAAATAATAATTTCATCTTTATACCAACAATGTATCTACTCCAACTACCACTCTGGAGAATTGGTGTTAAATAATGGGCCACTATATCCGACTGAAAAACCCTTAAGCTTCCTCTTCCCACTTTCTTATTGACAAAGAGGATCATGATAGCTGTTAGAGCTGTTAAATTCCTTTTATCCTAAAGTCACTCCCGCCAACAGTAACTCTGTCATTCACCCTAATGAAGTCTCAGTGACTGGAAGAGTTTTGCCAGTGCTAAATTTGAAGATAATGGTCCATACATTCCCTAGCCAGCTGCTTTGGTCAGTCTAATCTTTTTGTGGATTAAATGAGACATTTGTATTACAGCCATTTTATTTGTCTCTGACAGTGGAGCTCAGAGCAGAGCTGAACTGAGCTGAGCCCCACTCTGTTGTGTACAAGGACACGACGGGGAAGATACGGGCTTTTGACAAGAAACCAGGACAGAGAAAGAGATAAAAATCTCACCTCTACCGAAATGAGTGTCAACATGGTGCTTAAAGATTAGGGTAATTGTAATGCTAGTTATTCAGACTTTGAATTGCAATTCGTCAGCATTAGTAGGGGAAAGTACCTATTATTTTACAATTAATCCTTAAGAATATAAAAAATAGAAATGATAGCAATATCCTCCTTAAAGTAAAACCTCACAACTGAAACAAATGGATAGTAAATCCATCCATCCATTTTTTATACCACTTATTTCCAACGGGGAATAGCCTACGACAGCCGACAACAGGTGAGAGGCAGGATACTCCCTGGACAGGACGCCATCGCAGCTATTAGATTTTTTTAATTTTGACAAAAACGTAACTCAAAAAGGTCCAATTTGACGGAGGATTGGGGATTGAAAATTTGCGGCAAGTTTTTCTCAAATCAACTATCCCATTTATCCTCATTTATTTTTATCTACACACCAGCATCCCATTTTCTACCCGATGGAGCACCACACCATAACCAGCCTTCACAATTTTAAACCCACAACCCTGATAGAATGTAACCACGTAAGCAACTCTGAATGTCAATCTGAAAATTAAAACCAAACACCCAAAAAACAAAATGCAGAAATAGTGCAATACAGTATTACTGTGTATAGCAATGCGTTTTTTTGTGTGTTTTTTTTTTAGCAATGTGGGCAATTTAAACTCATGACTCCCAACATGATTGTTCCTCAAAGAGGAGTGAGTACCAAATCTCAGAAAATGAAAATGTGCTAGTGTTTGGTTCTATCCTGTTTCATATAATGACATGCTTCAGAGGTTACAGAACACTTCTTAAAAGATGCAGATCTCGTGGAATGGAGAGAAGTTAGAGGCTCACTCTACCTAAAAAAGAGAGATCTAAAAAGCTGTTGAGATTTGTGGATGTAAAGGGACTGCCTGTGTGGTCACCTGACAAAGCTTGCATCAGGAACTTGGCAAATGTTGCAAAGATGCCAGATCTAAGCAGTCTTTCACTGTCGTCCATGTGAAACTGAGCATCACATTCTCATAAAATCATATTCTTTAAAAGGCAATATGTACCTACTTTATTTTCTCAGTGGTTTGGGGCTTGTATTAACAAACTACATTAGGTACATAGCAACTTTTGTGAGATTGTTTATAAAAAACAACTCAGTATATCAGCAAAATCACACTAATAAGGTTGTACTCCCACATCTTTTTCAAATCCAAAATGGTCACACCCAAAACCTTTCAAATCTATTCTGACTGGAATCATGCAGTTTGTGATGTGTGTGTGTTTAGGAATGTAAAATCTCAACAAATAATAAAAGACAAATAAAGAGTGAGCATGTAACTCATATATCAACTCATCTACAGCATTGAAAATGTAACCAATCTTCATTGATGTGGGCTGATGCTATTATAATGGAGGCTATCTATTATTACCTAAAATGTGGGTAGAAAGGAAAGGTTAGAAAAAATAAGAAATAAACAAATAAATACAATATACCACATACACTGCTCAGATATATGCCGACAGATCCACTACTTTTGTACGTTGGAATTACATACTGTCAGATTGTATTATGAATTCATGGTACAAAAATCCATAACACATAAATTGCATAAATCTTCATTCATCTCTTTGCCATTTAGGATGGTAATTGTACTCTCTGTGGGTGATGAATGCATGATGTATAGTCTTTGACATTTTTAATATGTACCAGTTCATTAAACCAAACTTGATTCAGAGTGACGCATCATCAACCCGCCTAACCGTGCACACTCGACCTCTGCAGCCTCTCTGTCAACACCTCTTTCCACTCACCCAGCTGCTCCTGCGTCGTCCCTTCCTCTAGGAAAGTGATTCTCTCCAGGACAGCCCAGAACATCACACCCAGGGAGAAGATGTCTGCCTGAGCAGTGTAGCTCAGCCCACCCCATACCTCCGGAGCCATGTAGAAGTCAGAACCACAGATGGAGGAAAACTGTTGGCGGGTTCGATTACCGTTCATCATGGCCTCGCTCATCTTACTCAGACCAAAATCGGCCACCTTAAGGAGAGAAGTGGAAGGATTAAATGATAAATGTTCATGATATAATTCATGTCACATTGTAGCTTTAGCGCACATAACTGCAACAACTTCTAAATAAGAGACTCCTTTGATAGAAAATCCAATAAGCAACCATTTGGATACAACATCCATCTGTTTGGGGGTTTTATGTATAGAATATACATAATATCTTCTCTAGACTTTTATTTGGATATTAAATATAAAAAAAAAGATAGATCAATTGGATTGTTTAATTAAAGTGACAGAAAGTAATCAGAATAAAATTGTTATGGTATTTTGATGAAGAAAGGAGGGGGGAAACAGTGGGTAGAATACATAAAACTTAAATTCAAACTTTGGGAAAGCTGGTGCTGTAATAAGTAGCTGAGCTATTTTGGAATTTAATTAACTTTAAAACATCCATTTTTCTTTCAGAAATGCCAAACACATCAATGTTTTAGCAATCTCAAAGGCTTCATTATTTTTAATATGAACGATTGAACATATTTGGCTTTGGCTTGACTGATGATATATCTTTGGATGAGGGGGAAAATTTGATGGACATTTTTCACACCCCCCTTGATGTTTTGTAGATCAGACGATTAATTGAGAAAGAACAGTTTAATCAAAAAAGAGGAAGGTTAGCAGCTGAAGAGCTTATCTTGAGTACCAAATCAATGCAGAAATACATTTTGGCCTTTGCAAGCTCTCGTTCTGATAATAACATAACAGTTCAAGACGGATATGTTCAGGCATATTGTTTTCATGTCCATAGATCAGATTTGGCTTTGCTGTGTTTGAAACACAGTATCAAACATTAGCTTAGATTCAAAAATGAAAAAACAAAAGGTAATCTCAATGAGTGAAGAGAAGAACAGTGATACCAGAATAACATGCCTACCTTAACCACGGGGCCCTTTGCGGTCACACAGACCAGAACATTGTCAGGCTTCAGGTCTCTGTGAGTGATACCTAGATTATGCAAGAAAGCGACAGCACTGCAGAGCTGTTGTACCACGCTGTGGTTACGTTGGGCATCTGGAGGTCTGGAGAGTAGGTACTGATTCAAGTCCCCCCCATCACAGTATTCCATCACAAGCCAGATGGCCAAGCGGCGCAGAGGTCCAAGCTGCTCTTCTTCCCTCTGGGCAGATCTCTTTCTTGCTCTGTTTGGAGGCTTTTGTGGGGTTGTCGAATCAGACGCTCTTGATTTAGCCATGTTGTGGAGCTTAGATCTTACCTGGCCAGTGTTGGTCCTGTCCTCAAGTCTAGAGGCAGATTTAGTCCTCCTCCTTGTGTTGGACTGGGCGTCGTTTCTTCTCTGAATTTGTGGAGCTCCAACCACTCTACCCTTTAGAACGCTCTCAACCAGATGGAGAGGCAGCTTCTTTGGTTTCAGAGACTTAAGGCTCCTTGGTCCGGTCTGCAAAAGGCAGCTGTGGAGCGCAATGACATTTACATGGTTCTTTGCAGTGGTCCTCATGGCCCACAGCTCTTGTAGGTAGAGTTCAATACACTCTGGGTTGCTGCAGGGCAGTCGTTTAATGGCCACCCTGTGTCCTGTTTTGGCCATATGACCCTCAAAGACGACACCATAACTTCCTCGTCCAACCTCCCTCTCTAAGGTGTACAGCTCCTCCATCTTTAAGTTGGTAGCCTGACAAAAAACAAAACAATTTTGTTAAGTTGTATTTAGACTGTATTGTATTTTTCTGATGTTTTATCAGAAAAAATCGGCAAGTCTGAAACAGCGGATAAACATTTGAGGATTCTACAAATTCACACAACTGTAAGGATTTAGTCCCGATATATAATTTGTTTAAACCAATGTTACATACATACATCTTTCACCGGTATTTGTAAGTTGAAGTTAAAATGCCAAAAGGTTTTTCAGAGAAATATTCAAGGTACATATACTAATTTAAAATTTCATGTGACCCTTCGAAACCTGTCAACTACCTGAACTCGTTAAACACATACAAATTTTTGGCTACTTGTCAAAAAGGGAAAAGAAACGTAACGCTCTAACATTAGATAGCACTTATTATTTGGATTTCCAACTTACCCAGGCGTAATAAGTTTATCAAAAGCCTTTCGCTGCCTATATTAGCTGTAGCCGATATTCAATCGTTCATATTCGAATAAAAGTAAATATGGCTGGTGGACAAATAAAACAAACTTCCGTGTCTAAAGTCCCGCTCAGGATCAACCTGAAAAATGATTGGCTACACCATTTCAAACGCCTGCTTTGATTGGTTGGAGGGCGTAGCTCTGGTGAGTACTATGATTCGAAATATCCAAACCAACCAACACGTTCCCTGAGCCGTGCGGGCAAACTGTCACGTAACGTCCATCCATCCATTATCAATACCGCTTATTCCCTCATGGGGTCGCAGGGGGAACTGGAGCCTATCCCAGTGGTCAACGGGCGAGAGGCAGGGTACACCCTGGACAGTCCGCCAGTCCATCGCAGGGCCACACACAGGACATAGAAGGACAAACAAGCACTCACATTCACTCCTAAGGGCAATTTCCCCAATCTCCAATCAACCTAACATGCAGGTTTTTGGACTGTGGGAGGAAGCCGGAGAACCCGGAGAGAACCCACGCAGACACAGGGAGAACATGCAAACTCCACCTGGTTCCCCCCGGGATTCAAACCCAGAACCCTCTTGCTGGGAGGCAACAGTGCTAACCACCACACCACCGTGCCGCCCCTTGTCACGTAACGATCGTACGCAAATGACCAGAGAATAAGTAAACGATCGTAAACGTTCATGTTACGTAATGGTTTAACACATTTAAACACTAACAACATTTCCCATGGTTCAAACACATAGATACATATTGACATTGCCAAAAATGCACTGAATTAACATATGGCTTAACATATGACGCTGGTGAAAAGAAAAATATTTGTCGGTCGGGATTATCACTCAGTTAATTGTTAATAGTAAATACAGTAGTGCCTGTAAAGTCAGAGTGGTAGCTTAGCTGTATTTCTCAAAGTTGAAAGGACTTTTCTGTATAATAAACTGGAGGAGTGAAGCAGGAGTATATTTAGCCAGTTTGCAGTTGGCCCACTCCTCTATCGTTCTCTGTTGTCACCTGACCCTTTAAAGCCACCCATATTGTCTATGGACTATAGATCAAATCAGTAGGTTTATTGATTGTTTGATTGATTGATTGATTGATTTGTTTGTTTGTTTGCTTGATTGATTGATTGCTGATTGATTGATTGATTGATTGTTCATGTCAGTAACATTTTGAGTATCAAGTGTAATAGTTGCTATGTACAATAATGCCAGTTTTAAGGACTTGAATATTTTCAATTTGCATGTTATTGATGTGGTTATCTTAAATTAGATTTTTGGCAGTCTGTCTTTTACAATATTGCAAAACAAAACAAAACTTCAAAAGATTAATATTAAGTTTGATGGCCAGTTTATCCCAAAAACAGTGCTGCATGGATAAACCCACCCCCTAACATGAGGCAATATGAGCTATTTGAACACGTTTTCAGCAGTGAAGCATTTCTAGAGGTCTTTGTCACAGATTAATTCAGATTAGTCACTGACATTTTCATAAATACTATATTTATACTTGTGCTGATTTTGCCTTATCTTGTAGTGTGAACTGCTCATTTCAGGGTGAGAGAAACGCAAGTAGATCTATTCACATTTCTCTGCAGTTTTAATTAAAGCATAGCAATAAAAATCCCATTTTGTGCCATTCAAATAAGCAACACACTCCAGCCTTGATAACATGAATGCTAGTATTATCTCACATAGGAGTTTTGCACATCAGGAGTGCAGCATAAATGCAGTTTGTGCCTGTGTGACATGCCTGTGCCTTTGTGACATAACTGACAACTCAGTCTGGTACTAATAAATAATAAGTCAAATGAGCGATTAATAGTCATACTCTAGATTTACCTCAAGGAGGCAATCACGAAAAACAAACTGAATTTAAAGCCTAATCAGCAATATGAATTGTTCCTATGTGAGGTAAGGTCACCTGGTTGTGTTTTTCAACAACAAACAGGGAATTTATGGAACTTTTCAGATTGTGACAGTTTTATCCAAATGCTTCAATTAACTGATTTTTACACTAAATATTGTGGATAAACAACAAAAATCCAACTCAACACAAGGTAAGAGATATTAAAACAACATTTTTAAAGTCGATGTGGAAATTGAACTGGTGGAGGCTGGCATATAAAGAAGAGTAAGAAATGAAGGGGTGAGAAAGCAGTAAAGATACAAAAGTTAGACAAAAAGATTAAATTGATTGCACAGTTATTTCATAAAACTAATTTGGGATTTAAACTGATTTGATGAGTAAGTAGAATCAATTGAAAACAGCAGGAAGGACAAAAGGAGCTAGATGTGTGTACAAAAAAAGTAGACAAGACAGGCGTGAGACAGGGAACGGTTACAGGTTAACAAGCTAACAAGCCTTTCTCAAGATTAAGACCTTGTCCCCTTCCCTTCCTTGGATATCCAGCCGGGGAAAGCATATCCTCCACAGAAAGCCTCCCATTGCCATGAGCAATGGGAGCTGGTGTTGGTGTGTGAAAACGGCTTATGGAGTTAATTTTAGAGTTTCATTAAATAGAGAGTCACCACTAACAATAGGTGACAGAAAAACACATTAGCATTTACTTTGCCTTTTGCTATTTCAAGCAGGTACGAACAAGTAAAGGGATAAAGTTGAATGCCAGATTTGCAGTGGTTCTTACATTTGCAAATTGGCTTCATTGGCTGCACCTGTGTGGGTGTGCATATAAAGTATGTCTACTGTAGTTTTAGGAAAGAGAATGCAACCCAGCAAACTTGGTCTTAACATTATTATGTGGTTAAATCAGCCAGCTTTGCTTGTTTTACTGACGGATCAGGCTCTGCATTTTAATCCATTTCTAACCATAATAATCCAATGTAAAATAAAATAAAACAAAAATAGAAAAAAATGTATTTCCTTATTGAAATCCATCTTTATTATCAGTATAGTGCTTCACCAGCAGCTTTACACATATCTGCATTAAATTATCACTACAACATATAACAATCATTTGGCCACAAATGGTAAGATCCTGGAACAATACTGGATTTGCTGGTAAGCAAATCTTCCAATCAAATATTATATGTTCCGAGAATTATTTTTCTTTTTTCAATCCATTTGCTTTTCACCTACAACCCATATTAGTCATACAAAAAAAATAACTGTTACCTGACGTTGTGCACCCAGATACTGCAGTCAGGTGGGTGCCAATTTATTGAGCAATACTTTATAAAAACAAGTTAAAAACAAGTAATCAAAGCTACTAAAAACATTTTTAGGCCTACCAGTAGGGAGGAAGATTAAGAAGTGAATCACCTAACAAAACATTTTTTGGGAGAAATTTATACAATGAATGAGAAGGAAAAAAAAGTTAATGTTCACTAAATACTTTTCATAGTCATTGCTTCTTTCCCTCCGACCATTTAATATTTTGAACAGCCATCGGATTATCAGGTAGAACTTCTTTACTCAGCTCTGACATCCAACCATGTTGAAATAGTTCATTAAGATGACTGATGGGGGTTGCATGTATGGTGGTTAGCACTGTTGCCTCACAGCAAGTCGGTTATCAATTTGAGTCCCTGGGGGACTGGGACCTTTTTATGTGGAGTTTGCATGTTCTCCCTGTTTCTGTGTGGATTCTCTCATCTAAAAACATGCATGTTAAGTTAATTGGACACTCCAAATTGCCCCTAGGAGTGGATGTGGTTCTTTGTCTCTGTATGGTCCTGTGATGGACTGGCAACCAGTCTAGGCTTTACCCTAGCTGTTGTTAGCTGGGACCCCATTAGGAATAGCGGTGTAGAAAATTGGATGGATAGGTGAAAGATGACCGAATGTGTTAGGTTACCTACAGGGTTGATATGGATACTGACGCTCTTGACAAAAGTTCCTCCATTTGTTGCTTTACTGCAGTGTTCACCAAGGGACTTTAAACTTGTTTAATCAAAGAATTGAATCCTACGAATATGACCATAAAGTCACTGTAATGCCATACCTAAACAACATTCCTTTAGGAATTTAGGAATGTGGATATATGTGTCATTAGAAGCACTTTACTCCTAAAGCTAGTGGAGGCTTCTCAAAGTCTTCACAATAAAATCAGCTGTGTGAGTACATGAGTTTACTATGATAGTTTCTTGTCTGTCTATTAAAACAGAATTCCAAAAGCTTTAGGCTACGATTTTAAGTTAAGGAACATGCCATCGGATACATTTATTGATTGAATGTTACCAATAAATCAAAATTTCTTTGTATAGAAAAATGTTAATTGTGTTGATGATAAAAGCTTTAAAAAATGGCTAAAATAATGATATCTATTTTTACTTAACTGGGGATATAGATTGTATTGGGTGAAGTGATTTCTCCATTTGATTAAAGCTCATCCACCCCTTTCAGAGGAATTTTATAAAAAGACCTACCACAAGATATTAGATTATGACATGTTAAACATGTTAAACTATTGCGTGGTTGTGTATCTGACAATGCTTTTAAATTGTTATGTCTTTATTGTAGAATTTAATTGGATGACTGAGTTCCTTGAAGTTTAATTTGAAGAATAAAAACAACTTGAACGATTATGTGAAGAACAGTACCAAAACATGGCACTACTGCAGATGTCAAAGGGGCTACAAGCTCAGAAAGCCTATTTGTGCTCAATTTGTGAACATAATGCACTGCACGTAAGACCAAAGTGCTGTGCACCTGCTCTGAGAAATGAAGAAGTGAGTAATAACTGATCATTTTTATTGCAGAACCATAGTTGAGGATCACTGTCAACGCCTGCCTTATTTATTTTAAAATGGTGATTTAAAAACTTTTACCAGACAGGCTGAGATACCCAATTACAGAATGTTTTTTGGGGTGCTAGTGGTATAAAAAAATATGTAGACTGTAAAAACATTAAGTAAAGGGTCTCATGCCAGGATGTAAACATGGGCTATCTCTAATGAAGAACAACAGCCTCTGCTCATATGGTGAAAACTTAACCTGAACTATGGAGAAATAAATTGTGTCTATAACAAAATCCACAATGTCTTTATGAATATTTTCAACATTGTTTCTTTGTGATTCCACCTCTAAGCATTTAGTTCCATTTAAATCTGCTCAGCT